AAACTGCAAGTGATATCATTATTACATGTCTGTAGACATATATATATTTGAATGGAATTGTCCTCCGCCATCTTGTACATCACACATGAATTTTGAATATTTAATTATGTATTTTTGTAACCTATATGCTGTATTGCATTTGGATATAATAAAACTTGATATCCACTTTGGAATGAGCTGTGCTCAAGACCAATGTAAGCTGTATCCAATGTTTGGTATATCTCTAGTGAATTAGTGGGTGATTTCATTCCGATCTCTAGTGAGTTAGTGGGTGATTTCATTCTGATCTCTAGTGAGTTAGTGGGTGATTTCATTCTGATCTCTAGTGAATTAGTGGGTGATTTCATTCTGAGTTAGGTTTCTGGTGAAAGACTGAACAAATGTAGACGTGAGGTTGATTCAGATGATGACTCGTCTAGTACAGGTAGTGAGTTATCTGTTTCTAGGAACAAACACTGTTGAAAAAAACGTTAAGACAACAGCCCGGTCAAAACGATCACATATTAACTCAGTCACCCCTGAAGACACATTTGAACTCTTCCAAGTCAAAGGATGGAATAGTTAATTATGAAATTTCAGGGATGAATGAGTTAAAGTGAAGTCTTGTGAACTGTCAAACATCCACAGAAGTACCCCAATCATTTTCTGCAGTATGGGTTGTTAACCAGAATATCCAGTTTAATGTTCTGTCATTTAAATTGTTTGTCGCTGGAGAATTTGAGATGATTGCATGCTCTGATGTGTTAGATGATGAGAGAGTGGGAAGGAGTCTTTTATTAAAAAAAGATAGTCTGCTATAGTAATGTGTATGAAGGGAATGCATTGCTCTCCTTTTATGCAGCACGGGTTAGGAGGAACGAGCTGGGAGGGAGTGACTGGCAGGGTGATCCTGCTAGTATTGAGGTGCCAATTTGGGCACGGCATGTGCTTTCAGGTAGTAAAAGGGGTAGACGTTCAAACCATCGTTCTTCCGGTCATGACAAAGCAGCGTGTTTTTTTTTCATCTTATCGAAAAAATGTAATGAAAGGGGAGAGCATGAGGCTGAAGTTTGAGGGGCAAAGAGGCATGGGGAACACATCTGTGCAGAATGTTGGAGAAAGGACAAAGTAAAGAGATTTAATCAGGAGATTTCAACAGAAAGTCATTTTCGAATCTGACTAGGCCCAGAGGGTAGAAAATCTGTAGTTATTGATAAATCAGTAAATTTCTCTCTACATCCTTACTTAGTCCCCAAGACTGACACAGTTGTTACTGAGGATATGGATAACAGTAGAGATATATTAAAAAGTTCCAACAGTATGTCTCAAAAGTTAGCCAGTTTTATCAAGGGAAAAGGTGTCCATTATGTGGAGGATCTACAGATACAAGACGCAATTAGGCCACACAAAGACATTCAAGACTCCAAAAAATATAATTTTGAGGAGTGTAGAATTCCAGTATTTTCCAAGCTAAAGAGTTCTTATTCATGTTTATGTTAGGTTTGTTATCAGGACACTGAACGATGTGATTTACTGGAGTGTAGAGGTTGAGGATGAGGCAAGCTTATTATCGCTTCCTGAGAATGAGTGTAGGCAAGGGACCCTTAATAAGGCAGTGAAAAGTGGTCAGCGAAACCATACAGAAGCTAGGGAATTCAAAATTCAGATAGAGGAATACATTTCAGGGTAACTAGAAAAGTGTGCAATTTTAGGGCCTTTCAAGTCCAGTCCTTTTAACGTCTCTTTGCAAATTTCACCCCTAAATTCTTTTCCTAAAGTGGTTACAGGGGAGCGCAGAATAATTTTAGATTTGAGCCTCCCCAAGGGACATTCAATAAATTCGCATATTCCCAAGGATACTTATTTAGGAGAAGATATTTATTTTACCTATCCTCGAGTAGACGATTTAGCAGCACTGATCACAGAGAAAGGGAAGGGTTGTTTGCTGTTCAGGCGGGACCTAAAGAGAGCATATAGGCAAATCTCTATATATCCTGGTGATGTCACCTTGTGGGATACAGCTGGAGAGGTCAGCTTTATTGTGATCGTGTGCTATTAATGGGCTTACGATCAGTAGCTTACATCTGCCAGAGGGCGACTTCTGCTATATCGTGCAGACAGGTCATCAAATTTTAAATTACTTAGATGAATTTGCATAGGAAGAGGAGACTGGCAAAGCTGATCACGCTTACGAATATTTAGGAGCAGTGGTTTAGTTGAGTCAAAGGAGAAGGCAGTAATGTCAACTACAAGAATGGTATGTTTAGGGTATTGTTTGACTCGGAAGAGCTGTGCTTCGGGTACAGGAAATGCTGAAGTTATTAGCGTGGTTGTTGGATGCGGAGGCAGTATCATTACAACCTATACAGTCACTGCTAGGGAAGTTGATGTTTGTGACATCATGGGTCAGGTCAGGCAGAGTTTTTATTAGCAAGATCTTGAACTGGATCAGGGAAATACCATGGCATAATGCTTCAGATTTAGAAGTTTCAGGGGAGGTACGAAAAGACCTAGTCTGGTGGAAAGAGCTCCTTCCCATTTATAATGGTATTTCAATGATGAGTAAACGGGTGTGGTCCAGGCCAGGTGAGGAATTTGCTTCAGATGCTTGCCTATTAGGATGTTAATTCTAGATTTCAAGAATTCATTTTGAATCAGAGGTTAAGTATAAATTTCCTAGAATCATTGACAGCAGTTGTTTGTGTTAAAATCTGGGGGAGAATGCTGATAGGTAGGAAAGTTGTTATCAATTGTGACAATAGCCCTTCAGTGGCAGTGATTTATACAATCTGGCTTAAGAGAGTTCTGTTTCTTTGCTGCTATGCATGTTTTTGAATTGAGAGCGGTTCACATCGATGGTGATCTCAATCGTATACCAGAGCATTAGTCAATGGCGCCTAGGACGCAGTTTTTAGCCCTCACAGGAAACAGCCATGTGGAATATATTCCAGTTTCAGTATTCTAATGCATGGTAATGTAAAAAATTATTTATGAGGATATACATGATGTGTGTTTTTTATGGTATATATCATTATATTTATATTAGTTTACTGGTTATTACTGGGGGGGGNATGTCAGCTTTTAGTTGGCTTGGCGTTGGCTACATTTTATTATAAAAAACCATGGAACACAAAATTTTGGGTTGAAAAATTAGCAATATATGTATGTGCATGTATATATTTGATAGTTTGACTTGTACAAAGGTTAAATAATTAATCTAATATTGTATATTGTGGATAACATCGATTGTGAATATCCTTTATTGTAATAATTAAAGTTTTGATGCAACAGAAACAGCGAATATCCTTGTAATGTAATATTTATTTTGATGCAATGTGCCTTTTCCATATATCAGTGTGGCCAGATGACTTAAGGACATCGTGAGAATATATATAAGGACAGCATGTCTTTGGAGTCGTCTGGCCTTTTCCATCCTAGTAAGGCACATTGCACCTGTGTTTGTGTGTACATTTATTAGCAATACAGGTTTTATTGACAACTTGCAGGTTCGTCTATCTGTCAAAATGTCCAAGTCCGGTGTCAGTACCAGAGAAAACTTAGGCTAACGAATTTTGCAGCTGGAATATATAATTTGTGTAAGGTTTACATGTGTAACAGGAGAAAGAAAAAGAAATCTGCCAGACAGAGATTCGAACCTGAGACCCTCAGAATTCTGACGGCCGCTCTGCTAATTGAGTTACCTAGCTGGTCAACGACGACTGACCCAGTCCAGTTTCGTTACGCATGAAATACTGGTTAAAGAATGAATTATTCATTAGAGGCAGAGGTTTTTCAAATGATTAATTCATACCATAACAGATTGTTTTGCTTTGCTGTTCAGTTAATAAATACTCCCACTTGCTTGGTATTGGCAAAACGATTATTCATATTCTTTTCAAATATGCCAGCTCCAATTCTCTTTCTTCAGAATCAAATGACCATCCCGACACATGCAATGACAAGATAAAGTAATCATTATTTGAATATCATTTATTTATGATGGTGCAAAAGTTGTTTTACAAGGCACTGAGTGGAACAATACAGTAGAGTAGGAAAACAACCAACCACCCTTTTTGTAGTTGTAGGTTAGACATTCTGACCATTGTAGCCTTAGCGGACATTCTCACTGTTGAATTTCATGTTATCATCTATATAAGCAATGTTCTGACTATACACTCACATACACCTCCTATTCTTGCACACATGCTTCCACACAACTCACACACATGGACATACACACGTTTGTGTCCAGGATCTAAACATATAAATTCTTCCGAGACTTTAAAACATTCACCTTATACATGTCAATGTCAAGAAATTACACATGTCAAGGAACTACACACATACAGTTCCACACATGTGTCACTATAAAGAATCTATACATATAGTCCTCATACATGTTTTTTTAGGAACTACACACATACTATCTCCACTCACCAGTCAATGGTTAGACACCTTGGCAAAGTAAGTCTTTCTTAACTCATTCACCCCTGAAGACACATTTGAACTCTCCCAATTCAAAGCTTGGAATAGTTCATTATGAAATTGCATGGGTGAATGAGTTAAAGTGAAGTCTTGTGAAACTGTCAAATATCCACAGAAGTACCCTCATCATTGAAATTATAAATTTTCATTCTGACAAAGTTGTAATGCAAATTTTAGAAACACAATTATATAACTGTTTAAAAGCAATATTAAACAATCATGAATAACAAGAAAATGGATACCAGCAACTTTTGACGTTAAGATATTGTGTAGCTTCACAAGAAAAAATATCCAGCATGCTAACAAGAGAAAATATATACATACTTTATGTTTCTTAATTACTTAGCACGCTAAACATCTGTACAAGTGTTAGTCCTTTACAGAAAATTAATGCATTGTACCTGCAACTTCCAGGTTTTTAAACTATTTCAGATTATAATAGATATAAATCCTTGTGTTTATTATATCACTGAAGCAGTGAAGATTAATCAAATATAAAGATGTATACTGTGAAATCACTAATTTTCGTTTTTTTATTTTTATTTTGTTGATTTCGTGGGTTATATTCATCCACGAATTCATAGGTCCACGAAGTAATCACAAATTCAATATAAAGCGATTCTTCGTTGTAGTGGGTACTCGTAATTTAAGTTTTTTCAGGAAACCAGGAAATTTTGGCCCCACAAACATTTCTGATTTCACAGTAATACTACAGGAATTACTAGGAGGTAACATCTCTTGTCAACATAATCACAAATACTGTATTTACGTTCAACAGTCAAAAGCCAGTTGACCTGTCCCTGGATCTTGGCCATCAAATTTCTACAAATCTAGCTCACTGGTCTCAGCCTGCAGGCCAATATTCCCCCATACATATAATCACAAGTACAAAATGAAATTATAATCTTAATTTAAATAAATAAAACAAATCAACATACAAACGATTGTATTAATGATTCCTTGTCATCTGGACTTTAGTAAGTCTACCTTATAATATCTACGATCTGGATTTAGGGCTCTAAGAGGGACATGCCTCAACCAAGCCTCATTCTTCTACACATGTAAATCAGATATGGTGTAGCAAGTAACGAGGTGAGAAAAGGTAATGATTTGGCACACACAAAGTGGCATACACAAGCAACACAACACAGACAAAGACATAATACTAACCCCTAATAAAGCTTCATTTTTATCGCATATTTGGCTGCATATTGTGTAACAAACAAAAAAGAAGAAAAAAAACGTTTAATATAGACAATCATTAAATGATTTACTACTACAACTAAACAGTCTCAAATACAAAGTAGAGAATAACAGACCAAAAAATTAACGTATATTTGGCATTTTCTTGTTCATAAAAGTTATAGTGAGTTGATCAGGCACCAGTACAGGTTAAGCAGAACCGTGATTATAGTGCTGGCATAATGAACTGTCATAAGGTCCTTACTAGGGAATCTAACTTAGGCACAATTTTCTTTAAAAATTTGTCAAAAAAGTCAGCAAAATAATTTTAAAACATTTTGTTAATAATTGAAATATTTTCATTAGTTTAATTTAAATCTAATTTAAGTTTGCTCTTTCATTGCACAATACCGATAAACTGACGAAGCAATTACTTTCTTCACCCCACTAATTGAGGGGAATGAAAATAGGTGTGGAAATAATATATACCATGAAAAAAAGTTAGAATGACTGATTTGAACAGTGACTAAATGATATCAACAAAAGGTGAATATGACAGGTCATTTTGACAGCACTTATAATAAAATATACCTACAATTATAACAAGTCTACCTACAATGATATCCTTATCACAGCTTACTCATCTAATCTTTCATCACAAGCATCATAATCATTCAACAAGAAAATATGTTTATTTATAAATAATACTTACGTAAAATGAGTTATTTATGAGCACAATACTAATAAAACATATCTTATTCAAATTCAGAACAGATTTTCAGAACTACCCTGTTCTCAAAAAATAAAAGTTTTAAATGGAAGCAGATGATTGAACCATTTCGTTATATATTTAGATATTCATGGTCTACAGAATTCAAAGCTATTGCATTACACAAGAGAAAAGGAAATAAACACTGGCAGTTTTTGCGGCAATAAGTTTCATAGCATTGGGTTTACTCTATGATATAGACACCGGTGGTGTGTGTATATGTAGGTTAGCAATACATAGTTCAGATATTCACAAGGTTCAAATTATTGTAAATCAAATTTACAAAACAAAATATTTTTTTATTTTAAAATCTGAGCCTATTTTTGACCCCTACTCGTAATTTAAAATTGAGAATACCAACTGGTATGATTTTTAATCAAGTAAAACATTAACAACAACAAAAAATGTTCAACTGCAAATCACAACTACAACTGTATCGAAAAATTCCATCTGCAAATTAGAACTTTTTTTTATTAAAATGCAATAAATAACCAGCAAAAAAATCCAACTTTTAAAATCCCTGTAATGACTTGAAATATATTATATTTGTATTACAATACTAAGAAAGCTTTTAATTATTTGCTGAAATGATGATCAAACACATGTATTCTAGAAAGAAAACATAGATTCATTATAGCAAGTTTGAAGCAATTTTGAAAAATTTATAAAATAGGAAATAAATATAACAAAAATAAACTACGTTGTGTTCTAATTTCTAATTCAACATCTGATATATTTTTTTTTGTAAATTTAGGCCACAACAAAGCATATATTTTCCAAGTAAAATTTGAGAAATTAATTGTTAAGTTTTGAAAAAAAAATAGTTTAAAAAAAAGAACCACCGGTTTTGTTAGAATCTTAGGCACTAGGTTAAATTGGTCAAGTAAGTCTGACCGTTTTCTCTTACATTGGCACTTAGCTATATGTAGTTATCAAAGTCTATGTAAAACGCTCACCAGACATAGCACTGCCGCTAGCTAGTATAATACCATATATGGATAATATATCAGTCGTACAAGTTTATCACAGTCAATTGAATCAATAAATATATATTGTAATGGAGATGTCGTCATCATCTTGTCCCATGATATGTTTTATGTCGTGTGACGGGCCAGATCCTACAGGATCTGTGGTGTCCTGCTGAGGTATGTAGTGTCCCGCATTATTGTTTTCATCCGTGGTCACGTAACGGTCCCCTGCATTCTCCTCCCTGGTGCCGATAGGTGACGTCGTACGTCAATATTGGTGTGGTGGAATCCTCCCGGAGACAGACTCATAGTTATAACTCTAGTGGACTCCAGTTTTCTAGAAAAGAGAAAATGATAGCAAATTTAAAAACATCTAGAAAAAACGTTTGTGCTTCAAAAAACTGGAAAACTTTGAAAAAAATCTTCATCAAAACCTACATAGAATAACTGCCATATTAAAAATTTCATGATATTTTATGGAAGAACCCACATTTTAATGATTTTTCATACACATACTTGTAGCAGACCATACACTGTAGCTAAAACAATTTAACCCATCAGATAATTATCAAAATCAAAGTACATATGGAAATCAAAGCTGGTGTATTTCATTTCAATGTGCATACATGTACTTAGAACCTTCCTGGTTTCAAAATGATGTACAACAACAGTGCTAACAGTGAAAGAAGTGTACACAGCTGTAAAGTACAACATTAGAGAACAAGATAGAACACAAATTAATACAAACAATGCAATAAGACTGTCGGAGCAGTTCAGTGGACGGATCCAATGACTGAAGATAGACTGAGAAACAAAAGGAAACAGAGGAGAAATAGAGTAGATTTAAATATGTATAAAAACTCTGTTATATTGTACAGTATCACATTAAATTGTTTTGTTCATCATAATAAAGAAAAAATACCATCAGGTAGCCTAGCCTACCCTCGTACAGCTGGTTTGTGGATACAATATCTTGCTTTGCAATTTTAGATTTTTTTGTAATGGGAAATAAAGTCATTTATAATTCTTTTTATTTAAGACAAAACCCCTTTTTCCTATGGTATATGTAGATGGCAATCTTCCATGCTAAATAACTGTCGACAGAGCATGACATGTAGACTACTTCAGGTCATCAATTACACACCAGGTACACACCATTAACTGTAGGTTTTAGTTTGCAATCAGATACTGCAGTTGATTATATATATAGATTATTCTATTTCTTTAAAGTCTTCTATTAAATAATAATGCTAACTATCTGTGAAAACATTGAGAAGTAAGAGTACTGTCTGCACTTAATTAGGGTCAATGATATTAGACCGCATGGGGAGATTCAGTAACCAAACACTGAAAAACATGTACTTCAACTGACTGTCTCCTCCTCAAAAATCACGGACTTGAGCAAGACTAAACACTGGTATTTAGTATAAAGTACAGTTAGTTCTACAGTGCAGCTTTGAGAATTGATCCAATCACCTGTTATTAAATTATACAATCCTTAACTTCAGACTTAGCTGTCATATTAAACCTATCTAAACTTGACACCACACAGAGTTGATAGGTTTCAAATTTCACAGAATAATGTAAAAATGTTCACATCAGGACATTTGTAAACATTTTTCTTCAGGTTGGTAAGTATGGATTGTGAAAAGATTCATGTAGCACAACCAATAAGTGTTTCTAGCATATGAATGCTGTGTTATGCAGTGTCATAAAGCCATCAAATAAATCATGTATATGAAACGTGTGTAATATCACTCTGGAAATTACCTCGCAATCGAATTGGAACAATCAATGTGACGTCACGTCATTGTGAAGCGGAAACAATTTTCATCGTTTCAGAGGCGGCCGAGTGCAAAATATTTGTTTCAGATCACAATTATACAGTTTACATTGTATTATATGATAAAAGGAATCTGCCATTCATTTCCCTTCGTATTAGATATATGATCTTCGTTTTGGATTTTTCATATTTGCTTGCCAGAGGCTCGCAAACATGAAAAATTCCAAAACTTGTATCATAAATACTTCATCTAGATAAAGGAAGCCATCTGGATACACTGCAGTGGGCCAGTTCTAAATCAAGATGAGGGGGCACATAGACTCTCGCACATCTATGACCAAGTATTTACAAAGCGTAGCTGAATCCCGTCATTTTAATACATATATATAACAGCTAATTGTACATTAAGCGTAGCCGAATCAACATTGATTTGTGTGGACAACTCGTTCACATTTGACACCCTTTGTGTACATACACTTCACAAGTCATTTGTCTGATGAAGGTTATAGAGTACACACCATACTAGTTATCAAAATGTCACATAAAAACGCTTATTGGTTGTGCTACATGAATCTTTTCACAATACACAGCAGGACATTTGAAGCTAAATGTCTGGTTACACAGGTATCTGTATTAATGAGGGTTTGGTGTAAAAATGTTACACCATGTGTGAAGATTTCACAAGACAACAAAAAGCTTCCTAGCTGAAATGCCTAATACACTGTAAAATTTGTACCTGACCCCCCCTCCCCCTTTTAAAAAACCAAAACATGATGCAGATTAAGATGTTAAACTGGGTCAAAATTTCTAGAAGGTTTCATGAAATTCCTGAAAGATTTTCAGCAACAAAATGATCATGTAGATAGGAAAAAATATGTTTTTAGAGTGCAGTTTTTAGGATAAAAGGTGACAAAGACAGAATGTGAGATTATGAACACCGACCCACATAGAAAATTATACATATAACAATATAGCACTTTGACCAATACAGAATCAGACATCAAACGATATAGCGTAACATCACCGCCAATTACCTGTAGTGTCGTAAGATTGGGAACATAAGGTCGTTGACTGTGCAAGCGAAATCTGTTCAAATGGAAACACCTGCACGGTTACGCACAAATAACGCATGCATAAACATACAATAATAAAGCTACATTGCTTACACTGGTTTTAATCATGCTTTGCATTATAAAGGTTAAAATGCAGACAATGTGTACATAGAATACGTGTCCTGCCAAGATGCATTGTTTCTTGGATTATAAAATAACTTTTATTAAGGACACTTCTTTTATAAGATAAAAACTTTCAATTTGTTTTCAAAAAAAAGAAAATAAATCATTGTGTATGCAAAATTTGTAATGTATAACAAAGAAATATGTTTATTAAAATCATAATATTAATTGTACTTAAGTTGTTATTTAAAATGCAAAAAAAAATAAAAAAAAATACTGAAATAAAAACCAAACCACTTTTCTAATTTTTACTAATTCTACCCACGAAAAAAACAAATTTTACAGCAAAGTATTAAAATGTAAAATTAAAATACTCTATCCATCAAATAAGATAAGTCAAGATTCGCAAAGCAAAGCTTCTGGCCAACCATCACACTGCTAGCACACAAACCATATAGAACACAAACAGGAACAACAAACAAGGGCAGAACGAGATATAGGCAAGGACAGGTCAGGAGGCTGGTTTGTCATAAACAGGGTAAAAGGTGTGGAAAAGGGCAGGACTAGGAACGGGTGGCTTCAGAAATGGGTAGGGGACAGGTCCAGATAAGTAGATGGGGCATGCCCTGATACATAGAGGTCATCCAAAATAAATGACTATCTCCTTTTAAGAACTGTTTATACAGCAGAGGTATATCTCTGCCCCATTAAAAAAATTAAAACAAGATAGTCAGTTATTTCAGAGTTATGTGGAGGGGACATGCTCAGATACAGGGAAGGGGCATGTCCAGATTTTGGGAGCGGCATGTCTAAAAGTGGCAAGGGACATTTCTAGATGTGGGGAGGGGGCATGTCTAAAAGTGGCAAGGGACATGTCTAGATGTGGGGAGGGGCATGTCTAGAAGTGAAAAGGGGCAAGTCTAGATGTGGGGAGGGTGTCTAAAAGTGACAAGGGGCATGTCTAGATGTGGGAAGGGGCATGTCTAAAAGTGGCAAGGGACATGTCTAGATGTGGGGAGGGGTGTGTCTAAAAGTGAAAAGGGGCATGTCGAGATGTGGAGAGAGGTGTGTCTAAAGGTGGCAAGGGACATGTCTAGATGTGGGGAAGCACATGTCTAAGAGTGGCAAGACATGCCCCTCATGATCCAGATGTAGGTAGTGGCATATCTAGATTTGGGGAGAGACATGTCTAAAAGTGGGAAAGGGCATGTCCAGATGTTGGGAGGGGCATATCCAGATGTAGGGAAGAGCATGTCTGGATGTGGGGAGGGGCATGTCTAAAAGTGGGGAAGGGCATGTCCAAATATTGCAAATGGGATATAAGTCATGGGGAGCATTGGAGATTCTTTGAAGCAATTTCAAGCAATCAATAGGACCTGATTGAGTAGCTAGAACACAATGCTGATTGACACAAGCACAGGTGAAGGAAGCTAGACAAAAACACATGTAAGGTTGTCAGAATAGTGTTGCAGTGTATACGTAAGGAGTCACCAGCAGGCAGATATGTATACAGAGACTCTGGAGTCAAATGCCAGTAATATGTGGTGATACATTGATAAAATGATGCTCAGTTTAATAGTGCCTTTGTTTATGTTCTCACTGATATTTGTGACTTTTTCATTAAAAAGACAAATTGAAACAGACAATTTTGTGTGATTAAAACATATATACACATTATTGATGAGTGCATTGTCTCTACTATAAAATTAAAACATTAAGACAAAAAACCCATATTCAATCTTATGAACACAAAATTCAGCCTTCTACAGTCTACAGTCTGAAAGTGAGTTAAATCAAACAGTTCATGCTATATAGCATTGTCAAACCACGGGATACACATATACCTTAAAGCTAGAGAAGGCAGTCATGCATCTGCTGCTTAATACCCTACAACAAGCAGGGCCACACCTGCTTAAACTACACAACAACACAGGGATCTCAACACATTTATTCTTCTACCACTTTATTCCAATCAATATATATTACTGTACATAAATTTGTAGACACTGAATTATATTTTACAAAATTAAAAATATATAGAATGATTTTTTTTTTTTTTTTACCATCAATATTTTAAAGTTTATTTTCTACCTTTAATACATTGTAAGTCATTTTTTTTTCCTTTATCGAAAAATTTATTTTTTGAATTTTTATGAAGTGTCATCACACGGCTAAGCCTGCCCAAATCTACAGACGCCCTTATCATAATACGGTGAAGCATGCACTTGGTCTGTGACTATTATCACTACTGATTACATTATTTCTGACCAGTAATACCACGGCCTTTTCGTCCTCTTATTTACATATCTCTTATATTTTCCAACGTAGCTGAAATTTTAATTCAACATTCATGTTATATTTTTGTTTCATATTCTTTTTAATAAATAAATTGCAATTCGAATGACTGATTTGAAAATATTTAATTTGGATAAAACCACTTTTGACAAATTGAACATTATAGGATTCTACCATGTGTTACATTTGTACCAATTAATTAAGAGCTTAAAGATGCTGCTATTTCCGCAGTTGCACCAAACATTCCCAAAAATTTCAAAAAAGAAAGGAAAAATATCAAATCCAAAAGCAAAGCCAAGAAGTTATCTTAAAACCTTTGTTGTAAAATTTGAAAATTGAATTATAAAAAGAAGGAATAAAAAATGAATATTATGAAGTAGAAGATGTTACGTATGAGGTTATGTGACGACAACCACAAGCTAGTGTGAACGTGAACTTTATACGGGAGATTTCACTGTTTACCTCTTCTTGATGGTATGCTGTTGCATGTTAAGCAAAGGTCCAAGACGAACATAAATCTCCCTAGGTTGGGAAGAAACAGAATAGGAATGTTATCATCGCTGAGAATATATAGCAACAGTCTGGGTTGCTTACCAACTGAAAAAAGGCCTGCAATCTTAAAAACATACAGAAAAAATACCCACATGATTCAGCCACTAAATTGAGCATTTGATATTCAAAATAAAATGTTTAACATTCAAGTGACGCTGTTGCATGCAAAATGTTACAAAAATATCATGCTTGACTCATACGCTATGTTACATGTGAGCAGTTTGGCAGTTTAGGTGTTTGAGCTTGACGATTTGTGTAACGATACAGGGAACCAGAATATTGTTTTAATTAATATGTAATTCTCTTATCATCTATAATCTATTTATTCTCGACTAGCTATAACTTGCATTGTGTACAGTTCATTATGTGAAGTGACAAAGACAAGACAACATGTAAAAATCCATCATGAGGTAAAGAAATTCCTTTTATTTGTGTCTTGGCATGACTTTTATGAAATCATTTTTACCAATCTGAATTACAAAATAAAATTTCCAGTTCCATAACAAATCTTTTATGCAATTTGAATTTAAACATTGGTCAGTCACTGCCAACAATTCACATATTCTGTTGAAGATATTAATTACTATTCCCTACAAAAAACATTGGACATAGGTTTGAGGGTGAAGCAATATTACATCAAGCAGTCACTCGGTGAGGGGAACAGTAAACCCCCAGAAGTATGGGTACATCTTTGTGGATAGCAGGGAGGAAGGGAAGGCGTGTGCTGTTTACGGTGACAAATGCTACGTAGGAGACTTGGTATGTCTGATGGAAGCTGTGGGAAGCAGTGATGGATCCATGGAATAAAAATGGTGGCATTGATGGCAGTGTACGAGGAGAATGAGGTCAAGAGGTGGATGAAATATTAAACTATCTACATAATAAAAAACAGAGTAGGTACCAGTATTTTATGCAAAAGTCATATAATTTAAAGTTATTGAAAACTTATTTTAGAATATATCTCCGACAACAATGATAACCTATGCTAATGACAGTGGTGTTTGTTTTTATATCTTTGTTTCAGTATTAAGAAAGACTGTGACTGATATCTACTTTTGTCACATAATGTACTGTGTTATCCAGTTAATATACCCATGTCATATTTTAATGCCTATTAACCCATGTAATATGACCTATCAGCCCTGTGTTGGTTGTAAGCTTCAATTGTTTCAATTGTGATGTCACGCCTAGGACAAGTACATGACGTCAAAGACTTACGCACTGGAGTCAAAATGGTGTCTTTTTACATTTCAGGGTTACATGAAAATTGTTGTTTTACACAAATAAATGCCATAAGTCTTGATTATGTGATAAAAAGGATCTTACACTCGTTTTTATTTCATATAAAATTGATGAAACTTGTCACAAATTTTTCATTTTAGCTTGCCAGAGGCTCGCAGGCTCGCTAAATTGAAAAATTCTTAGACTTGTTGATGTTCCATAAATATTATATGAAATGGAAACTCATGCAAGATCCTATATGTTCAGATCCACATTGAATTGTGATATATTATAGCTATATTCTATATGTTCACATTGAATTGTGATATATTATAGCTATATCCTATATGTTCACATTGAATTGTGATATATTATAGCTATATCCTGTATGTTCAGATCCACATTGAATTCTGATATATTATAGCTATATTCTATATGTTCAGATCCACATTGAATTGTGATATATTATAGCTATATTCTATATGTTCAGATCAACATTGAATTGTGATATATTATAGCTATATCCTATATGTTCAGATTGAATTGTGATATATATATAGCTATATCCTATATGTTCAACATTCAAAATTTGACAACATCATATTGTCTATACTGTAAAAAATGCTTCCTTGCCATATAAATTTCTAAGTAATTTATACCATACAAACAAACATTAGCAAGGACCCAGTGTTATCTGGGAAGCTACTGTAAATATTACTTCTTTGACCCATATATATACATGTATATATATACAGGTTGTAAATGTGTAGTATTTCATTGAAACACTGATTTTCCCGAGACACAATTATAATTTTGAGTGAACTGTAAGACTTTTTCAAGATTCTGGTTAATTTCTCATGAATATTTTGTATTATTAATATATTTGTCCTAAACAATTTAACGTTTATACTTCTTTGACCTTCTCTTTCACCTCCAATGACTCGAGGTTTATCTAATTCTGGAACACCAATATTCACACGCCCTTTAATTTATTTTCAGTTGGGAATCTAAGATATATTTTTGAGGTTGATTATCTCTTAGACAGTAAATCATGTTTTTTGTACTTTCTAAAAGAATCAAAATTAGGATAATTTTAAATTCATATCATAATCATATTTCAGCAGCTTCTAAAGTGAACAGGTCTGCTACATTGTGTGACTTTAACTCATTCACCCCTGAAATTTTATAATGAACTATTCCAACCTTAGAATTGGAAGATTTCAAATGTATCTTCAGGGGTGAATGAGTAAAGTCATGCTTATCATGGTAATTCTACCACCTCAGTAACAAATGTATCTCATCGTCCAACAACATTATGGAATAGTGGATGACACATGCAACCCAATAAAACATGCATGCACAAAGCTATTTCAAAACCTAACCTTCTTATTATCTAGGTCATGCATATTACATAGACTTAATCTCATATCCATGTTATGTAACCTTATTAGCAAGGCAAAACTATATTTCAGTACACTTTATGTGACATGATAGATATAGTTAATTAACATGTACAGTAAAACCTTGATATAATGCCACTTGTTCCTACTGCCTCCTCACTTCCTGCCAACATATTACAAGGTCTTTTTTCTCTTTATCTTAAGAACTCCTTTATACGTCTCCTTCAATTTATCACCAAACCCCTTTATAGCGCCAACATTTTTCTGGACAAATGGTGGCAGTCAACTTGTTTTACTGTACTTGCATGTGATATGATTGAATACAGATAACTCAGGTATCAAAAATGTTAAAAAAAGAAAATTATCGCATGTCTATCAGCCTTTGTTCGTAATTTTATCACAATATTTTTTCACCGTTAATATTCTATCATAATGCATGTACATAAGTTGATTAGCCAGTATTTCTAAGGTACACCGTACTACACAACGCTCTGGTTTATAACCATAGAATCTCATGGCTAGTAACATTGATGATTTAATTTTTACTCTTTCCTTTTGTTTTATAGCACATGACATTATTCATTTTTCTTGTTTTTCTTTGAAATTATTTTTTCTTAATGTTTTATAACTAATTGCCAGGAATCTTAAAAGCTTATATCTTTCATGATTTACAGACAATTGTGTAGGTTATAAACAAAACATTAGACCATGACAACAATACATATGTAATAAAAAAAAATCTGAAAATAAAACCTGTTCAAGAACCATGCGACCATTAATCGATTCAGGATCGTATCTCTGAAAAAATCACTCAGTGTTGATCTCTCTTCCACAAGAAATCGATGATAGTGTATGTCAAGTAGGTGCACAGATGAACTCCACAAGGAGATTGATTGTCTTTGATTTCATAGATATAAAAAACCCACATGAATAATCTACTAATAATTCTAGAAGTGCTAATCTTAAAATTTCCTGACCTGCAATTTAATATAAAATCAAATGATATAAAACATACATATTCATTTCCTAAATTACTGGGATTTAACTTGAAGATGTAGCTTATTAACAGGGAAAGGTATTGTGAGCAATTGGTTTAAACAATGAACAAAGGGCCATAACTCTATGTGTAGCGGGATGTGTGACCCAATAAGCATAATCCACTTTCCTGCCAAAGAATTATTCAACTAAAAAATTTGGCAATTGTCAGGTGACAATGAGACATATCCTTGACAATATGACACAAGGTGAACAAAGGGCCATAACTCTGTATTTAACAAGGTACGGTATTGATTTCAGTTTGGGACATTTGGCAATTCCAAGTGATAACTCGCATAAAAAACAATGATCCCATGGGTTAATTGTAGTGGGACAGAAAGACAATATCTTCTGTGTCTAATGTGCCCATATCTAACTAGTATATAACACATAAGAACTAGTAATTGTTACAAAACTCTCCCACCATTCCACAACTAGTCCCCACACACTCTAGTTTCAATCACATATCGTTATTACTCTGTATTACCTGCGATAAGCCCATAATCAGCCTTCAGACTTCACACTTCTTGTTAAAATCTTTGTTTTAATAACAGATTTTATGTTGTATGCAGGACATATATGTATGGCCCTGGGTCTGGTTTCTAGGTATCTATGGTAACATGCAGAAACACTAAACTTGTACCGTAATTAGCTAATTTTCCAAGGACTAGGCTCCGTGTCGTTATTAAAGGTAAAATGTGGGCTTATTACAGGTAAATTATCCTGGCTTATTACAGGTAAATTATGTGAGCTTATTACAGGTAAATTGGACTCCAAACACCTTAACACTTCACATTAAGTAACAGAGTTTGTCACATGCTATTTACCCACCACATATAACACTAACACAACACACAGTGGAGTAGCTTAGTTATACTGGACCCAGGCCTTCCTATTGTAGCCATTAGTTATACTAGACCCAGTCATTCCTATTTTAGCCATTAGTTATACTGGACCCAATCCTTCCTATTGTAGCCATTAGTTATACTGGATTCAGTCCTTCCTATTGTAGCCATTAGTTATACTGGATTCAGTCCTTCCTATTGTAGCCATTAGTTATACTGGACCCAATCCTTCCTATTGTAGCCATTAGTGATACTGGACCCAGTCCCCCCTATTGTAGCCATTAGTTATACCCAGTCCTTCCTATTGTAGTAGCCATTAGTTATACCCAGTCATTCCTATTGTAGCCATAAGTTATACTGGACCCAGTCATTCCTATTGTAGCCATTAGTTATACTAGACCCAGTCATTCCTATTGTAGCCATTGGTTATACTGGACCCAGTCCTTCCTATTGTAGTAGCCATTAGTTATACTGGACCCAGTCCTTCCTATTGTAGCCATTAGTTATACTGGACCCAGTCCTTCCTATTGTAGCCATTAGTTTTACTGGACCCAGTCCTTCCTATTGTAGCGATTAGTTATACTGGACCCAGTCCTTCCTTTTGTAGCCATTAGTTATACTGGACCCAGTCCTACCTATTGTAGCCATTACTTATACTGGACCCAGTCCTTCCTATTGTAGCCATTAGTTATACTGGACACAATCCTTCCTATTGTAGCCATTAATGATACTGGACCCACTCCTTCCTATTGTAGCCATTAGTTATACTGGACACAATCCTTCCTATTGTAGCCATTAATGATACTGGACCCACTCCTTCCTATTGTAGCCATTAGTTATACTGGACCCAATCCTTCCTATTGTAGCCATTAGTGATACTGGACCCAGTCCTTCCTATTGTAGCCATTAGTTATACCCAGTCCTTCCTATTGTAGTAGCCATTAGTTATACCCTGTCATTCCTATTGTAGCCATTAGTTATACAGGACCCAGTCATTCCTATTGTAGCCATTAGTTATACTAGACCCACCCAGTCATTCCTATTGTAGCCATTGGTTATACTGGACCCAGTCCTTCCTATTGTAGTAGCCATTAGTTATACTGGACCCAGTCCTTCCTATTGTAGCCATTAGTTTTACTGGACAAACCTACTCCTTATGAACCCTCTTATCACACTGCTGTATGAGACACTTACCCCTTATGAACCCTCTAATCACACTTTTATATGAGGAACTTACCCCTTATGAACCCTCTTATCACACTCACACTGCTGTATGAGACACTTACCCTTTATGAACCCTCTTATCACACTGCTGTATGAGACACTTACCCCTTATGAACCCTCTAATCACACTGCTGTATGAGGAACTTACCCCTTATGAACCCTCTTATCACACTGCTGTATGAGAAACTTACTCCTTTTGAACCCTCTAATCACACTTCTGTATGAGGAACATACCCCTTTTGAACCCTCTAATCACACTTCTATATGAGGAACATACCCCTTTTGAACCCTCTAATCACACTTCTATATGAGGAACTTACCCCTTTTGAACCCTCTTAACACACTGCTGTATGAGAAACTTACCCCTTATGAACCCTCTAGCAACTACATTGTAGTTATACAAAATAAACTGGTCCCCTTCCTAGCACTTTTGCCAATTTTACATTATTATGAGTTTACTTTTTTGCCAACTCCATCAGAACTTTATCTTGTCATAAAACTATGAACTTTTCTTGACCCCTTTAGAACCTATCTTGCTATAAAACTACCAACTTGTTTACTTCCTTAGAACCCATCCTCCACACTCTAGGAGATACGCTCACTTTCACTCTCTGCATCCCTGAAATATGTCATGGCAATATTGAAGGCTCAGTGTGAAACAAGAAGTTTAGTTTGATCCATTGATGTACATGGAAAGAATCTCATGGTCACATAACGGTTAAAATTGACTGACTTTGAAGTCGGGTGTCGCTCCTTTGTAATCTTCAAAGGACAGGTATCAGCCTAGCGATTGGTCAGTTTTTTTCAACCCGAGACCAATCAAACAGTTGTCTTTGTGCCTTCAATTTTGCTATGACATATTCCAGGGGTGCAGAGAGCGTAAGTGAGCATAATCCCTGGAGTATCGAGGATGCTAAGACCCATGTCATTAAAAAGTAAAACTTAACTCCTATATATCCAAACTCCTCAGAATATCAAAAATGTAATTTCTATCCCCCGACCATGAATTTGCCTCCTTGCTGAACCCTACAGACCCCCGGAGTCGGGAGGTAGTTACTGGTATATATGTACTCACTTGACTTGGTCTAGCATGTCCTTGCCACTGTCTGCAGACGAAGAGCCTGGTCGTTTGATTGGCACCAGTGCACTGTCCAACGATGTCCCAGTCCCGGGGTGACCAAACTTGTCAACGCCTGTTCCACCTATTTCTCCACCCCACGCTGAACGCATCCCACTACGACCCCGAGTTGGACTACAACAGCAAGCAGAGAGTTGTCGGATAAATAACCATATAAAGTACACAGACTACTGTAGATTAGGCATAATTTGCCTTCTAAAAAAAATAAAAATCAAGGGTGCTAATTTGCATATTACTCAGTATGAATGTTTAATGTTATGCATGAATAAATGTTTGCACTATACTTAAGTTCATGATCAATGTTTAACGTGAATTCATAAACAAAATTGAAAATAAAATAAAAAAGAAATAATCCAAAGTATTCAGGGAAGGCTTATCTGAACTTGTTTTGTAATATTTAATATTCTGATATTTAAAATGTATCACATCAACTATTCTTTAATTGATACACGTTTTCGTTTAAAATGTACATAATTTTAATAATCTGTCCTATGGTTAACACTTTATTACGATTTTGAAACAAGTCCCTTGCGTTAAAAATCAAATAAACAAGTTAATATATAATATAAAATAATCATGCAAGCACTGGTGTATATTCAAATGTACCTGAATCTGAAATCCCTTGGCAGAGAATAACCTTGCATTGCTTGAACCCTTGACTTCATAATCTGTTTCCTGAAGTCTTTTCTCGCATTTCCATAACCATTGAAAATATGATCACAGAAAAGAAGCTTTCCATTGAGGTACATCTGTAACATAAAAAAAATAACATATTAAAGCTGTACAATAAACATATTGTATGTTGTGTTCGATGAGTAGGAGAGGCTGGACATATCTTATAAGAAACAGGCCAGGGACCAAGTTGTGTCAGATTAAGAAGAACAACTCGGTTTGACTTCCCAGAAACATGCCAGGGACCAAGTTGTGTGGCAATTTGGAGGCAAGGCTGGATGTTATAAGAAACATGCCAGGGACCAAGTTGTGTGGCATTTTATAGCAAGGCTGGGTGTTATAAGAAATATGCTAGGAACCAAGTTGTGTTGGGTTTGGAGCAAGGCTGGGTGTTATAAGAATATGCTAGGGATCAAATGGTGTTGGGTTTGGAGGCAAGGCTGGGTGTTATAAGAAACATGCCAGGGACCAAGTTGTGTGGCAGTTTGGAGCAAGGCTGGCTGTTATAAGAAACATGCTAGGGACCAAGTTGTGTGGCAATTTGGAGCAAGGCTGGGTGTTATAAGAAACATGCTAGGGACCAAGTTGTGTGGCATTTTGGAGCAAGGCTAGATGTTATAAGAAACATGCCAGGGACTAAGTTGTGTGGCAATTTGGAGCAAGGCTGGATGTTATAAGAAACATGCCAGGGCCCAAGTTGTGTGGCAATTTGGAGGCAAGGCTGGATGTTATAAGAAACATGCCCGGGACTAAGTTGTGTGGCATTTTGGAACAAGGCGTTATAAGAAACATGCCAGGGACCAAGTTGTATGGCATTTTGGAACAAGGCGTTATAAGAAGCATGCCAGGGACCAAGTTGCGTGGCATTTTGAAGCCAGGCTGAGTGTTATAAGAAATACGCTAGGGACCAAGTTGTGTGGGATTTTGGAGCAAGGCTGGGTGTGATAAGAAACATGGCAGGGACCAAGTTGGGTGGCATTTTGGAACAAGGCTGGGTGTTATAAGAAACATGCCAGGGACCAAGTTGTGTGGCATTTTGGAGCAAGGCTGAGTGTTATAAGAAATATGCTAGGGACCAAGTTGTGTGGCATTTTGGAGCAAGGCTGGGTGTTACAAGAAACATGCTAGGGACCAAATGCTGTTGGGTTTGGAGCAAGGCTGGATGTTATAAGAAACATGCCAGGGACCAAGTTGTATGGCATTTTGGAACAAGGCTGGGTGTTATAAGAAACATGCTAGGGACCAAATAGTGTTGGGTTTGGAGCAAGTCTGGGTGTTATAAGAAACATACTAGGGACAAAGTTGTCGTTGTTAGAAAGAGAGGCTGGGTTTTACATACTAGAAACATGGTGTTTGGAAGCAAGGCTGTGTGTTATAAGAAACATGCTTGGGACCATGTTGTCGATGTTAGAAAGAGAGGCTGGGTTTTACATACTAGAAACATGCCAGGGACCACGTTGTGTCGGGTTAGAAGGAGAGGCTGGGTGTGGTCAGATCCCTCAGCAGCAGTCGTGATGTCATACTGTAGGAGCCTGAACATGTCTCCTCGACATTGAACACAGGGCTTGGTACGGTTCCTATTACAACTCGTATAGATCTCTTCTACCATCTTCTCTGCCGCAGTGGAGTAGGGAAATCTGTGATTGACAAGTGTTCACAATAACACAATAACAATATATTGTATGACTTTCAATTAAGGTACAACATTTACATATAAATGGCTTCCAACACACATTTCAAAATTGATTTAATAATTAAATAAAAAGAATACAATATAGTTATGTGTAAGTATTTTTACCTCCAAAAGGGATCATGTTTTACTTTTACCATAACAAAGTCTGCATACAAAATTCACTGAACAATTATAAAGATTCTCCATTTAATAAAAACACATGCTGCAGACCAACTTGAGAAAAGTAGTCAATTTGGTTAGCAATTGCAATGCCGATTTGAAGTTTTTTACTTGCATGATGACATTTGAAGCTGTATGTAAAATACATATAAACTTGTAACAGGTCAAAACTTACATAGAGGAGATCACCTCAATGACTACGATCTGAGTGTCTGGCACCTCCGTCTGGATGAAGGTGTCATACTCAAGGTCCATAATCTGTGGTATGATGTGACGACTACAACGACACAAGGGTCGCTCCAATCCAAGCATAGCCTGGCGAATAGCCACAGGACATGGACTCTTCATCATCGACAGCAGCTCAGCATTAGGATTGGTGGTTGCAATTGTGTATTGGCGGGACAAAGGTGCACTGGATACAGGAGTCCGTATACCTCGTGATGAATGTTTACCCGCAGAACTGAAATTATATATGCATACATAGAAAACCTTGATATAATACCTCTTGTTTTATTTTCCACCTCGCTTACAACCAACATACATTTGTATTTCAAGGCTGCCTTTACCTTTTTATTACATTTTTGCCAGAGAAATATTGAATTCTATTAATTTGATAAAAATGCTGTTTTTCACACTGTGATAGGTATTAAAAATGAAATTTTCATTGTCAAAATATCCCATTTGAAATTGACCAATCAAAATGGTACTTTTGTAAAAGGACAAGGAATAGTGATAAAGATAGTGCCGTCGCTGGGGTTCGAACCCGCAACCCTTGGCTCTCTAGCCCGATGCTCTACCGCTGAGCTAAAGGGAAATTCCCTACAGCTCACGCTTGTAAGGCAACCTAATAAATCCAAATTTTTTACACTTTCTATTCACTTAACTTAAAGCCACACATTCTTTGTTTTGTTAAAGATGAAGCAACAATAGAAGAAGTGGCTGCTATGGTACATCTATGCCACATATACTAAGGTATAGATATACTTATATGCTTTATAACTTTTATGTAAGTAAGGCTTATAAAATAATAGCAGAAAATGGTAGAGTTGTGGTAAGTAGCCAATCTTAGATGGTGTGCAGCCTTGTTGTCAAGAATGACTTCAATAGAATATGGCATCAAAGATTTCACTTTTATATCCCCAACTGTTTTGAATGCAGGAATGGCAGAATATATTAATAAATTTTCACTCCCGCCATGCCATTGTGAAAAATATTGGCATTCTGCCATATTCATGAAATACACGATATTCACAAGAAAAAACCATTAAATATCCTCTATGTATGTGTCTGTTTATGTATTGCCAAACTTCCTTTATAATGCTAATATTTTGGTGGACAAAAATGGGAAGAATAACAAAGTTTTACTGTAAAATATTTGTTTTCTGCTTTGGTACATTACTCACAATCTAGAGTAGAAACAAAACTGTTGTATGTACAACCACATAATGTGATTAACTAATTGTTATGCCAGATGTGGAATTACTAGTCTGATTAAAATGAGTTCAAGAGTTGAAAACAGTTAACTTAGAAGTCCCAAGTTTCACAAATGTTCCTCAAAGGGAAAAAAAACTTAACCGAAAACTTTCCAAAGGAAAACAATACTGGAGTAAAGGGAAATTTCCTCATGCTTTCCTATGGAAAAAAATCTTCATTAAGAAAAAACCCATAATTGAATGTATTATGAGTATATATTGAAAGTTAATATACATACTGTGCTAGTCTTTCAAACATAGCGATAGCCGTTGGGGAGACATCACCGCCAGCATCTGTGGTATCATCCTCAAACTTCACGTTAGATGGAGCTGCACTCTTCTTTCGAGACTCCATCACCTCAAATTCATCAACTAGGCTCTTGGCTGATCTACTTCTTGCTTTCACTGTGTTACAACATAAAAATCACTGCCACTTCACTGATTTCAGCTTCATTTTTGTAATTATTCGTTTTATAAATTTTAAGATACAACGGTATAGCACTTTAAATTTGCGGGGTCAATATTTCGCAGTTTCGTATTCAGTACATATTCGCGGGGGTTAAATTTCGCTCAAATCCCATGTGTCGTGCTAAATATTTTGAGTGTCATTATTTAAGGATTAAACCTCGAAATACATGTAAACCATTTGAAAACAGTGATCTCGAGCATTGTCATCCGCCAGTGACTTCACTCGAAAGAAAATCAAATGTGTAAGAACCTTTGTAGGAGTAAACTGTAATCAATTAATCACCTACTGTGTACACATAAATATGTTGAGGCCACTTTCATGTAAGTGTTGTTTTTACATGGACTGCCCAGTTGTCTGGTGACAATCTGATTTCAGTTCATTTAAGCTTGCATAACAGCTTTGGATTATAAGTATTTTCAACATGTTGGAATAGGGTCCTTAAAAGTGGTTAACATTTTTCAATAATTTCGCTGGTGTTTAGAATTCGCCGATATTCGTCAAAGCGCGAATATAGAGAAATTAAATCCACCGCAAAAAAATAAGCGCTATACAGTAGTGGAATCGATCATCTATAGGTATGTGGGATATGGATATCCTACCTAGAACCCAGGCCAAGTTGAGTTTCTGACACCAAACTCTGCACCTAAGGATAGAATATCCATATCTCACACACCTACATTGTACATGATGACCGACTCTTTTTCTCTCACCTCTTATCCAAAGTTTTAGTAAAACAGGACATGCAACACTGAATGAAATAACCTTTCTTGATAATGTTTACACAAACTACGACCATATTTGGAAAGAGCAGAAAAAAGGATGGTATACAGTTAAGGGATACCTCAAATTTAAAGATTCATGCAAGACCGTACCTTAACTTATTCACCCCTGAAGTTTAATAATGAACTTTTCCAACCATTGAATTGGAAGAGTTCAGATGTGTTTTCTGGGGTGAATGAGTTCAGGGCAAGCTGGTATGTGGTGTCACAGTTACATTGCCACAGTCAGTCAAACATTAGCTTGACGCATTTTCAATTGCTAGTCGTAAAAAAATGTCATCATCTGACTATGACATCATAACACAAGTGTAGTATAGGTCATTAAGTGCACCTATGTAGTATACCCGTATCCCACATTGGACACAAGTTACTTACATACGGAGAAGTGGGAGAAGAAAGAAATAATCCTGTTTAAAACACAGAATGATATTAAAGTAAAAAGATTGTTGTCCCAGAAACAACAGCTGAAGAGATGGGGAGATACAGGACTGGTGACACTTACCAAGGGGAGCCGATGGTACTCTGCTGTGCACTGGACTGACAAGTTCCATGTTAGCTCGTCGTGACAGCTGTCCGTTATCTGCCAGCTGAGCAGACTTGATGTTCCTCTTTCTTGTGCTGTATTCTGGGTACTCAATCATGGTGCTAAGGAAGGGTGAAGTGAGACCAACTGCCAAACGGTAGTGTTCCATCCACTCCTCCACCAAACCCCTGTCAAAACAATATTTACAGGTAAATACAGATAAGAATAATTTAGAGATAAAAACACAAATAAAAGTTGGTAAATTCTGTATGTTTAAAACCTGGTAAATTCTACATATTATAGTAGGGGGTGGGGGTGATAATCTGTCCATAGAACCTGATAAATTCTTCATATTATAGTGGAGGATGGGGGTGGCAATCTGTCCTTAGAACCTGGTAAATTCTACATATTATAGTTGATGGGGGAGGGGGTGGCAATATGTCCATAGAACCTGGTAAATTCTACATATTATAGGGGAGGGGGGGTGGGGTGGCAATATGTCCATAGAACCGGGTAAATTCTAAATATTATAGTGGAGGGGGGGTGGGGTGGCAATATGTCCATAGAACCGGGTAAATTCTACATATTATAGTGGAGGGGGGGGGGGGAGGGGGAGCAATCTATCCTTAGAACTCAATTCTAGATGTGACATTGAGGTCAATCTACTCCCTACTTACTTGGCCTTTCTCTGAAGTTTGGCCAGATCCTTGTCATTCTCAGCATCGTATTGTAATGAAAATTCAAGTAGTTTCTGGATTTCTGGGTGATGACTACGGCCATGGTGCTGGGAAATGCAAACAATATTTCAAGTTGTAATAACTTCATTAATTACAAGTAAATATGACTGAAAGCACACACAATTATGTCTGAAGCACAGTTATAAATTGATCCTGCTTAGCTTTATGGGGGTCTTGATATAAAAATATAAAGGTGCAAGGCCCTACATGTGGTTTATAAAAGTTTGTTGATCATATGACCAGATTTAACTTTAGGTTAGAAAATAAATTAACAAAATACAGAAATAATGAAATGAAGGAGATATAAGCCAGCTACAAACTTGCCATTATTATTTTTTCTCTGCATGGCCATGAAAATAGACCTAGACGTTTTTCAAGTTGTTTATTAAAGGCTTAAATTTTATAAGCCACTTTTATTTATTAAAAGGTATGGAAACATTTAAGTTTGCCAATGACGTTGACTAATACCAAGATGAACCCTGCAAACAGTGGAATAGAAGAACAAAATGAAAACAACCCTTGCTCCTGACTATCTGCTATCTGAGTAAGGGGAGACAACTCTGATCACATTGGCGATCACAGTTATTGTCCCAATAATATTTCTTTTAGTCGCAAAATATATCCTTTCCTACCTTCTTCTTTTGGTTTTTATTTTTCCTACTTGGTTTTGGTGCAAACAACCTCATCAAGTCTTTGGCAGCTCGAGATGAAAAGGGGAAAGATGCAGTCAGCAGTTGTTCCTGAAATAAGGCAAGGTAATCACAAAGTCAACAAGGTAATCACATAGTCAACAAGGTAATCACATAGTCAACAAGGGAATCACATGGTCAACAAGGTAAGCACATAGTCAACAAGGTAATCACATGGTCAACAAGGTAAGCACATAGTCAACAAGGTAATCACATAGTAAACAAGGTAATCACATAGTCAACAAGGTAATCACATAGTCAACAAGGCAATCACAAAGTCAACAAAATTGCTTTCACTGCATATAAAATCAGTCATAAACAAATTTGATATACTAAATCTGCTGAAGTTATTACATGTAAGTGTTTCTTGTTTGAGGAAGTGCCAAGACTATTTGACAATAAAAGACAAACCACCCATATATTTCCTGTGAAAATTCTCACGTTTTCGTCTCCTGGTTTGGACTCCACAGCGCCTGGTGTAGCACTTAGAGAGAATCGAGCTACTTCCTTAGTGCAGTTAAATATCATGGACATCACCTGTTGGCCTGAACACCTGAACAGCAGGGAATGGTTCATCTGAGGATAACAAAATGACCAGGTTTACCGTTTAGTCAGTTACTCATGTACACATCAGAAATACAAAGGTATTTGTAGATTTTTAGATATATATCTCAAAAATAGCATTGTGAAATTTAGTCTAAATAATTAATTTATTAAAGCTATAAATTGGGCTTTACCAACCAGACAAAGATAGTGGCCTGCACTAATCAAAATAAAGGATTCCTATTTTCGACTTTTGCCATTTGAGATTATATGGTACTAACTTGGATAGTCATTTTGGCTCCTTGAACGTGTGAATTTTACTCTGAATTTCAACATATTTGATCAAATATAAGATAAAAGATTTGCGCTAACATGCCGTTGAGCTTTAATCAGGCTATACAAAAATTGGCAATGCATGGTCTCAGTTACACCTATGTTCTTTTAAGAATTTTCTTTATCTTAATTTTTTAACTTCAGCAATATTATCCAATGATAAAATTGAAGTTAAAGAGTTCCTTAATTTAGGAATATTTGTGAGGAGTTCATTAATTTAGGAATATTTGTGAGGAGTTCCTTAATTTAGGAATATTTGTGAAACAAGAGCTAGATATAAAATGTTAATGGAGCAATCACCAGTTCAATTACACTTGAAGAAAACACCCACTTTTTTAATTTATTTTTACAATGATGTTGCTTATAACTGACATTGCACATACTCTACCACTGATATTTTTTTCAGTTCCTAGCAGAACCTCTTGGATGTGTAATAGAATCAGGACTCTACCTGGAATGTGACTGGGGTAATGTGTAATAGAATCAGGACTCTACCTGGAATGTGACTGGGGTAATGTGTAATAGAATCAGGACTCTACCTGGAATGTGACTGGGGTAATGTGTAATAGAATCAGGACTCTACCTGGAATGTGACTGGGGTAATGTGTAATAGAATCAGGACTCTACCTGGAATGTGACTGGGGTAATGTGTAATAGAATCAGGACTCTACCTGGAATGTGACTGGGGTAATGTGTAATAGAATCAGGACTCTACCTGGAATGTGACTGGGGTAATGTGTAATAGAATCAGGACTCTACCTGGAATGTGACTGGGGTAATGTGTAATAGAATCAGGACTCTACCTGGAATGTGACTGGGGTAATGTGTAATAGAATCAGGACTCTACCTGGAATGTGACTGGGGTAATGTGTAATAGAATCAGGACTCTACCTGGAATGTGACTGGGGTAATGTGTAATAGAATCAGGACTCTACCTGGAATGTGACTGGGGTAATGTGTAATAGAATCAGGACTCTACCTGGAATGTGACTGGGGTAATGTGTAATAGAATCAGGACTCTACCTGGAATGTGACTGGGGTAATGTGTAATAGAATCAGGACTCTACCTGGAATGTGACTGGGGTAATGTGTAGTGTGACTCTACCTGGAATGTGACTGGGGTAATGCGTAATGTGACTCTACCTGGAATGTGACTGGGGTAATGAGTAATGTGACTCTACCTGGAATGTGACTGGGGTGATGTGTAATGTGACTCTACCTGGAATGTGACTGAGGTAATGTGTAATGTGACTCTACCTGGAATGTGGCTGGGGGAATGTGTAATGTGACTCTACCTGGAATGTGACTAGGGTAATGGGTAATGTGACTCTACCTGGAATGTGACTGGGGTTATGTGTAATGTGACTCTACCTGGAATGTGACTGGGATAATGTGTAATAGAATTAGGACTCTACCTGGAATGTGACTGGGGAAATGTGTAATGTGACTCTACCTGGAATGAGACTGGGGTAATGTGTAATGTGACTGGGGTAATGTGTAATGTGACTCTACCTGAAATGTGACTGGGGTAATGTGTAATGTGACTCTACCTGGTATGTGACTGGGGTAATGTGTAATGTGACTGGGGTAATGTGTAATGTGACTCTACCTGAAATGTGACTGGGGTAATGTGTAATGTGACTCTACCTGGCATGTGACTGGGATAATGTGTAATAGAATTAGGACTCTACTTGGAATGTGACTGGGGTAATGTGTAATGTGACTGGGGTAATGTGTAATGTGACTCTAGTAATGTGACTCTACCTGGAATGTGACTGGGGTTATGTGTAATGTGACTCTACCTGGAATGTGACTGGGATAATGTGTAATAGAATTAGGACTCTACTTGGAATGTGACTGGGGTAATGTGTAATGTGACTCCACCTGGAATGTGACTGGGGTAATGTGTAATGTGCCTCTACCTGGAATGTGACTGGGATAATGTGTAATAGAATTAGGACTCTACTTGGAATGTGACTGGGGTAATGTGTAATGTGACTCCACCTGGAATGTGACTGGGGTAATGTGTAATGTGCTTCTACCTGGAATGTGACTGGGGTAATGTGTAATCTGACTCTACCTGGAATGTGACTGGGGTAATGTGTAGTGTGACTCTACCTGGAATGTGACTGGGGTAATGAGTAATGTGACTCTACCTGGAATGTGACTGGGGTGATGTGTAATGTGACTCTACCTGGAATGTGACTGAGGTAATGTGTAATGTGACTCTACCTGGAATGTGGCTGGGGGAATGTGTAATGTGACTCTACCTGGAATGTGACTAGGGTAATGGGTAATGTGACTCTACCTGGAATGTGACTGGGGTGATGTGTAATGTGACTCTACCTGGAATGTGACTGGGATAATGTGTAATAGAATTAGGACTCTACCTGGAATGTGACTGGGGTAAAAGTTTTCATCTGAGTGGTTGGCCACTTCCACTTTCTAAGAATAGATCCATCGTCCGTAATGTGTAATGTGACTCTACCTGGAATGTGATTGGGGTAATGTGTAATAGAATCAGGACTCTACCTGGAATGTGATTGGGGTAATGTGTAATGTGACTGGGGTAATGTGTAATGTGACTCTACCTGAAATGTGACTGGGGTAATGTGTAATGTGACTGGGGTAATGTGTAATGTGACTCTAGTAATGTGACTCTACCTGGAATGTGACTGGGGTAATGCGTAATGCGACTCTACCTGGAATGTGACTGGGGTAATGCGTAATGCGACTCTACCTGGAATGTGACTGGGGTAATGTGTAGTGTGACTCTACCTGGAATGTGACTGGGGTAATGTGACTCTACCTGGAATGTGACTGGGATAATGTGTAATAGAATTAGGACTCTACCTGGAATGTGACTGGGGCAATGTGTAATGTGACTCTACCTGGAATGTGACTGAGGTAATGTGTAATGTGACTCTACCTGGAATGTGGCTGGGGGAATGTGTAATGTGACTCTACCTGGAATGTGACTGGGATAATGTGTAATAGAATTAGGACTCTACCTGGAATGTGACTGGGGTAATGTGTAATGTGACTCTACCTGGAATGTGACTGGGGTAATGTGTAATGTGACTCTACCTGGAATGTGACTGGGGTAATGTGTAATGTGACTCTACCTGGAATGTGACTGGGGTAATGTGTAATAGAATTAGGACTCTACCTGGAATGTGACTGGGGTAAAAGTTTTCATCTGAGTGGTTGGCCACTTCCACTTTCTAAGAATAGATCCATCGTCCAACGCCTCATGACCTCCCTTCTCCGTCACCAGCACGCTGTAACACAGTAACATACCCATCAACAAACAACACTAAAGGACCCAACAACATGGAATACTTGTGGGTAATTTCTTTCAAGATTATTTTCATTTATGAACCTTTTTGTTGATTCTTAACCTTCATGATTGACGACAGTTTACATTTGAACTTGAGTTAGTTGTGTAACACTCGATCATGCATTCTCTTAATTTTCTCTTTGCTTATTTTCATGATTCAATTTTCACATCAAAAACCATGAAAATAGATGCAGCAACTAATGCTTCATTTTACTCAGTATATGTCTTCCAAAAATTAAAAGCAATGACCTTTGTAACAAACCAAAATATTATTTGCATATATATAGATAATTAAATGGTGCAAATGTCTTTGGAAATTGACATTAATAAAATAAACATTTAAACACAGTACAAACATGCTTATTAAGAATAAACCAGAGTTTATAAACAGTCATATTTATATCAACAGGCAAGGTTTTATGAACATCAAACTCTAATATGATTTTGGTAATTATATACACATTTCTGTATTTTCATATTCTATCTTACCGAATTACTCCATTTTCTCCATAGCAGACACCTTTCCCACTGGGAGTGAAACATGCCAGCATCTTAGACTCGGGTCCATCATCATAAGCCAATAGGTAGTGTCCCGGTCGTCCGAACCCTGCAGCTGTGTAGACTACAGCCTTATAGCCTGAGGGGTAGCTTCATGGGTCAAGGTCATGTTAATGTAAAAGTGCACATGGGATTCCCACAATAACATTATCTACGTCAATTATACCCCTACTTCATTTCTGCTTTGATTGTATATGTATTTCATCATCCTACAATAAGTAAGCCGAAGGGGGCAACGCTTAGACTCTATGTTAGAGTGAGCTTATAACAGGATACCAAACTGTATTTGACATGGGTGGGCTTATTAACAGGAATGGGCTTGTTACCTGATATGACAATTGTTACAAGCTTCAAGCACATTCAACAACTTGAGTACAAATATTCAAAAAGTGTTTTTGAATAATTTCTCACTTTTTTGTTATTTGGAAGTGAAAAATAACAACTGTGTGTGAAGATGGAATGTCATTTACACAAAGGATACTACACAACACTAGAGCCATCCAGATGTGTTGCCTGCAACAGGTCCTTCCCTTCATGTCGCTCGTCAAATACCGGGGGAATCCTTGGTTTACCTCCCTTGTAAATGGGTTTTACAGCTGTTTTTAGGGGTGACCTCCGGTACTTCAACATAGCCTCCTTCTTGGCATCACCGTAAAAACGTACCTGGACTTCCCTGTCATAGCCATTATCAATGTCCTTTATTCGCTGTTCCTTCCTGAAATCAGAAAGTAGTTATAGTGTACTGGAAATGGACAAGAAGCCAATTATTAAATAATATACCATCCCGTCATTTATGGGGAATATCTTGATTAAAAAAGGTCCTGTTTAGTCTGTTAATGCATTCCTAAGAGAGAAATATTATATTGTTCTGATTATACATTACTGATGAAAACCAAATACTTTGACTTGTTCCAAATTAATGCAAATAGAATGTGAATTTTATTTCTTTAGCAATCTTACAGAAATTCTAATAGGGTTTAGTTGTGATGTTTACAAACGGATACTTACGTAGCTTTCATGGTCTCCTGCAGTATTTGTATACAATACTCGAGGATGGTATTTTTATCTATTTCATCTTGGCGTCCTTTGTTCACAATCCAACCTTCAAAAGGAACAGATAATGAAGTTGTGAGAAACAACAATAATGTAATCTGTGAAATTACCAGTTAATTAGACAAATCATTACCTGTGGTATTAGACAAATCATTACCTGTGGTATCTGAACTAAAACTACCATTTTAAAACTTTTAAGCATTAACTTGTGACCATTTCCATTTAAAAGAAATCCAAATATCCTGATGGTGTGAACGGCTTATTGATCACTCTTTGTTTTCATAGGTTACCTTGGATAGAGATAGTGCTACTAAATTGGATCAGTCTGGTTTTTAATTGATTAGGCCGGGAGCCTGATAGCTTTCCTAAAGTTGGTTTCACAAGACACATTATTAATGACTCTAAGATGTTGGTACCAGGGGACTAAAGTGTGTGCTGGTTATCTACCTTTGGTTTCACAGGACACCATGGACACAGATATAGTGGTACCATAGGGGACAGGCTGGTTTGTGTTAATATGGGGTGTGCTGGTTACCTAACTTTGGTTTCACAGGACACCATGGACACAGAGACAGTCGTTCCATATGGGACAGGCTGGTTTGTGTTAATATGGGGTGTGGTGGTTACCTACCTTTGGTTTCACAGGACACCATGGACACAGCGATGGTCGTACCATAGGGGACAGACTGGTTTGTGTTAATATAGGGTGTGGTGGTTACCTACCTTTGGTTTCTCTGGACACCATGGACACAGAGATGGTTGTACCATAGGGGACAGGCTGGTTTGTGTTAATATGGGGTGTGCTGGGTACCTACCTTTGGTTTCACAGGACACCATGGACACAGAGATGGTCGTACCATAGGGGACAGACTGGTTTGTATCAATATAGGGTGTGGTGGTTACCTACCTTTGGTTTCACTGGACACCATGGACACAGAGATGGTTGTACCATAGGGGACAGACTGGTTTGTATCAATATAGGGTGTGCTGGTTACCTACCTTTGGTTTCACTGGACACCATGGACACAGAGATGGTTGTACCATAGGGGACAGGCTGGTTTGTGTTAATATGGGGTGGGCTGGGTACCTACCTTTGGTTTCACAGGACACCATGGACACAGAGATGGTTGTACCATAGGGGACAGACTGGTTTGTATCAATATAGGGTGTGCTGGTTACCTACCTTTGGTTTCACTGGACACCATGGACACAGAGATGGTTGTACCATAGGGGACAGACTGGTTTGTATCAATATAGGGGGTGGGGGTTACCTACCTTTGGTTTCACTGGACACCATGGACACAGAGATGGTTGTACCATAGGGGACAGACTGGTTTGTATCAATATAGGGGGTGGGGGTTACCTACCTTTGGTTTCACTGGACACCATGGACACAGAGATGGTTGTACCATAGGGGACAGACTGGTTTGTATCAATATAGGGGGTGGGGGTTACCTACCTTTGGTTTCACAGGACACCATGGACACAGAGATGGTCGTACCATAGGGGACAGGCTGGTTTGTTCCTGTGACAGCTGAAATGCACAACCCCTTATGTCAAATTTGACCAGATATTGACATATTTTAAATGGCATTATCAGAAACCAACACATACATTTTTGAACTTTTAATAACTTTCAATATTCCATTATTATACCATTTTAATCTGCATACTTTTTCAGCCATTTTTTGGGAATTGAATCAATCTTATTAAATCTTTTGTGGATGATTTCTATCCTATTTTTATATCGGTTGATAACTTTAGTACAGCCAAATTAGCTTCACATTTAGATATATAGAAATACATGTATACACATTCATAATTGTGATTGGAATTGGAAAATCAAATACCCAGGTATACATTAAGACATTGTATTTTTAGTAAAACATTCCAGCAGTTTTGTATGACTAATATATAATCTGGTATATCAAGGTTTATATTCAATCTTCACCATTCTTGTCTCCCATCACCACCTCTCTCACTCACCAAAGCCGTCAAACAATCATAAAATTCAAAGTAAAAAAAAAAGTAAAACAACATTTTTTTTTTCAAAGAATCAACTAGTTTCTTACATATATATCAGTTAATAATTAATCTATTTACTAATTACCTCACTCTTGGCTGCCCCATACAAACATCCCAATACTCTTTCCATTACTAACCTTCCAATATTAACCTTTTAATTCTGACTTCCCAATACTGACCTATCAATACTAACCTCCAAATACATAATGTACAAATTTGCCAATACTAACTTCCCAATACCAACCTCTCTAACTAATTTCCAATGCTAAGCTCCCAAATACTAACTCCTATATGCTATTTCTCCCCAATAGATATGCTAACATCCCAATGCTAACTGTCTAATACTAACATCCAATGTCAATTCCCAAAATGAATATCTCGATACTAACTCCTAATGCTATTTCTCCCCAATACATATGCTACATTTAAACATCCCAATGCTAACTGTCCAATACTATCATCCACATATCTATTCCAAAAACTGACCTCCAAGTACTAACTCCCAACATCATTCCCCCCTCCCCACTCCCCAATACAGTACATATGCTGCATTTAAATATCACAATGCTAACTGTCCAATACTATCATCCACAAATCCATTCCCAATACTATTCCCCAATTGATATCTCATAGTGCTAATTCCCTTTTCTCCCCATTTCTATTACTGAAATAACTCTTATTACATGATCAATACTCAAACTACGTACACCACCCAATACTACCAGTAATTACCAAATGTTTAAAACTACCCAATATTAATTGCCCAAAATTAACTCTTTATGCTAACCTGTCTAAGCTTATTTTTTAAAGTTATTTTATGAGTATCAGTATACACAAACCTTGGTCTGTAATTGGATTGTGCTATCTCGACTAAAATCAGTACGTTCTAATTGGAGAAACCATCAAAACACAGTTTTTATGTGAAAAGTCTACATGTTGACATAAGTACATTTAAACTAAAACCAATTACAGAATGGCAAACAGTGAACACCAATTACACGCTAGGTAAAAATGTACAATTTAAAAATAATAATAATATTTTTAAATGGCACGTGAATCGATATATTTATTTTTCAAAGGATTTGAAAGGCACTTTAGACTATAATCCTCAGTGGAGTGTAAAGTCTAACATGTTGTATGATCTCGATCCATTAACATTGTATCCACAACATGCCTCTGGGAAACTGTTTAATCCTCAAATCTTTTAAACGATTCAAAGAATAATTGCTGTTTTCCTTCTTTGAAAATACTAAACAAACAAGGATCAAACAGAACCAGTTATCTGAACATACACAACGTATGAAATACATGACTGTGTACATAATTATCCCATATTTTAGCCTGTCACCGTACCTAACCACCAGAACATTCACGCACACATATATGTGTATACATGAAACACAAGTAATGAATAAATTTTACTGCAAACTCCCGATTTGCATTTCTGTGCATTTTCATTCTTGTATCTTAGATCTTAAAAGCTGATTATCACGATAATGGCGACTGTCAGGTAAAGGGATATCAAATAAGACATTTACATAGTTATCGAACCACTAAATAATTCAAACTTTCATTTCCTATCAACTTTGTTGAGTAATACAAACTACATACTAGGATATGTGTAATAAAAGGCTGACACTTTATACCTAATAACCACATTCCTGGTCCAATCTGCCATATAATGTACCTCAAAAGTGTACACAGTACACACAGTGTGTCAGATTGTACAACCATACCCTAGAACTACTGTTAAACTGTCATAGACTGACACATTAAGGTTTAGGTCAGATCTGGTAAATGACGTTATATAAAGGACCGATGTCTGATTGTGTGACCCCTAATGAGGTCTTAAGTCATTAACAGGTGGAACATTAATACAAATGTCCAACAACATGTCAAAATGTTCAACAGTGTTTGACCAAAATAACTCTGTGATTCAAATAAAATTTTATAAGGTCAATCATAATTAAATCCTTGAAACAATCAAACGTTTGAAGTGCATTTTCTTAAACTGAATTCAGTGAGGCGTTCTCCAATGTACAGGGCATTGTCTACCTGACACATGGAAGTACTTCTGTGTACAAGTCCCTCACCGCAACCAACACCTGGATAATACACCAGCTATTCTTTAGCCAAATTCCTACACAATTACCTCCCTTGGCGAGCAAAACTGTTCCTTTCACCAAGTATAAAATATACTTTCTACTCAAAATAGATATGAAATTTTCATCTTCCACCTTTTTCTGGCTAAAAATAACCACCTGCCTCCTCAAATTCTAAAACCAAGAATAAAATTTAATTTCTACTCAAAAACGAAAATGAGAAAAAATTTAACCTTGAAATTGAATCACCATATAATGTAAAAAGATTAAAAATATTGCATATTAATACATTGGGCCTTACAGTCACTGTCACTATCATCAAGACTATCGTCACTGTACTCCTGATCCACTGTAAAGTAACATACAGCATACATAATCCACTAATGCCACAATACATTATCCACATGATCCACTGAAATTAGTTATAACATTATCCACATTTGCCAAACACATATAATACACTTAATTCTTGATCCGCAGTAAACAAAGTACATATTACTGTAAGTGATAAATTCTAGTGTTAATTCATAACCCCTTCCTCCAAATCAAAATTCTACATACATTTACCATGATCAGGTACACGGTAGAACGTTGCTGTGAAATCATAAACAAAAGAGTTACTTATACAATCGTAATAAAAATATCAAATCCTTAATTCTGTTTTATCGTACAGGTTTATATTACAATCCAAAGGACTGAATCGCAGAGAGAATTATTATCATTTTGAATAATTTAATGTTATAATTAAAATGATCAGAAGCAAAAAACACTTCATTCTAGACAATATTGAAATTTTACTTTACATATGTCCCAGAGAAAGAGCATTTAAATTTATAGTTACATAATAATTATACATAATTTTAATATCTTTTCTTTAAAAGACTAATCCAGCTGTTCATGTCACAAAATAAATTATTCCTTCAGCCATTTAATTTGTTTACAAAAGGAAATGTTAGAAGCTAACGACATGGCTTTACATTGTTCCATTTACTTGAATTACAGATTTCTGTAAACCGTTCATGTCCACCCCACAATATTAACAATTAGTTCTGACACACTCTATGCTACACCGTCTATAACCCGTTCATGTCCACCCCACAGGACTAAATATTAGTTCCAACACAGACCATCTATGTTACACCATCTATATAACATACAAACACTGAGTGTCCTCCTGGTATAATCCGACACTCGCCGATTATAACCCATCACTCACCTCCATTACCTGATAGGCTGAGAACAAATCAAGTTTCGGTGACCATCATCAAATTTAGTTTTAGTCTCAGTTTATGCATCTCAAAAGTCATGTCTATAATGTTTGAACCTTATGTCATTGTTAATCAATGTTTTCATAGGTATTCATTTTGAAATCATTTGTTGTTTTCAGTGCACAACTGAAGAATAGGCACATGAATAATAAACCATTTTTGACCTAATAAGTGACCAATGGCTTAGCAATTTAAGAAAATTGATATGACTGTAGAACATTTTGAAATCTTTAAAAAAAAAGCCATGATTGACACTTTTCTAAGTAAGGTGTAAAAATTATGGTAAAGGGATAGAACTCTCGCACTAGAAAAAGGACTGGGACAATTTTAAGGGATAGGGTGTTTATTTAGTCAAATATGGGCTTTGAAATTGAGAGATCTATACAAATTATCATCAAACATGATATCTTATAATATATCATTAAGTCTGATATAGTATTAAAAAAAATTTCACCTCAACTGTGAATTTGTTAATAATTTTTAAGCAATTCTTCTTTGATGAAAGAAATATTCATGATGAGTGAATGTGTAGTTTATGAACACAGGGAAAAGGACAAATCAGATCTGGGTCAGATTTGGGTATGTCAGTTTTTGCCTTTCTATAGTTGCTGTTTCTCACATTGATAGTCTGGTCTGTTGAATTTTGATTTGTTCTCAACTTTCAACATATGACATTAGTGCCACCAGTGACCTTTTGTCCTCATTATCGGTAACTTCTGTGGTGCTACAACCGTCACCATGGTAACCCACAGTTCCACACCAACGACATGACCTAGCCAGTCATCCATACAGCAAACACTCTTTGAATATTTTTTCCAATAAATAAAAAGTTAATTAATTCAATGAATTTTTCAAGGATGAAAATGAAATGAAAAAGGCAAAATCAACACTTTATTTAGTGTTCCAGATGATTTTCAATTGTGGGAACGATTTGTATTCAAACATTTAAAACAAAGTTAAGCAGGTATCAATAGAATAAAGATTTCCAAATCGATACTTAGAATGCTTTACAAATTGCAGACTTGAGACAAATGTGATGTACTGTAAGATGCAACTAATTAAGTCATGTCAAACTTGAGGAGTGCATATTCAATTTTATACTATAAATATTAAATATTCTCCAAAAAATTGTCTTTTCCAAATTAAATATAAAAAAAATACTCCAGATAAAAAGAGAGAGCAAAATAAACCAGAAATATAATGTGATCCCTTTTACGTAAAAAATGAAAAGATTTGATAATCTATGATTAAATTACCTCTCTTTGCTGAAGAGCTCCACCTGTTCAGGTATGACAATACTAGGAAGGGAGATAACTTACATGTACAGTTATAATAAATCTATTTTTTAATTCACACAATCAAAATACTAGCATTTTATCTACATTGTATCATCAAACCCAGAACATCAAGCACCTAGTCCACCATTTTTATAGCAATTAACATACAAAGTGTTCACACAGGGCGATTCACAGGGTTATTAACTGTGTACCCACTCAACGACTGGATATTGTGATGCATTAGTTCAAACCACATAGAGGGTTTCGCATACATATATATCTCATAAAACACATTTCATTTGAGTATAAAACACAGTATAACTTACTTCTGGGATCCGATGGTGTTTCTGCAATGTTGAAAAACAAATCATCATGTTCAGGGTGTTTCCGTGAGCTTGCTGCAGATTGCAACCTTGAGTCTGTGAACGTGAGTGTGCGTGAATGGATAAAAAGAAGCAGGTAACTAATGATGGTGTCAAGAAAAAAAAAGTTACTACAGAAGAATGGAACCTTTCTCAAACATCTGCCACTATACAATGAGGATCATCAAAGTTTGTTAACCTTCTGTGTACTCATAACTTATGAATTTCAATATTTTTCTCAAACATTCAGCACAATTTTCAGCAATGACTACAGTTAGGGTATGATAGATCCCAAAATGAGATTTTTATTTCATACACTATAATATCAGTGTTGTGCTAAAATATACAACTAGAAAATTGTACAACTGTGGAATGAGAAAGGTTCCTCTTCTTATCCAACCTTTGGACCTAGGTATCAACAACGTCTTCTCCTTTAGCACAAGATGTCTTGTTGTCACAAATTTTACAGCAGCTAGCCTCAATATCAAAAATACAGTAAAACCTCGATATAATGCCCTTGTTTAATTTTCCACCTTGTTTATCACCCACATATACCAACGTCCTTTTTTCTCTGTTTCTCAAGAATTCCTTTATAAATGTTCCTCGATTTATTGCCAAACCCCTTTATAATGCCAAAATGGCTCTGGACAAGTGATGGCAGTATAACAAGGTTTTACTGTAAGCATTTTACTGACTACAGAAGACAATATGTGCTACAGGAGAAGACGATTGACAGGTCTTTGTAATTCTTTGCAAGTCTATCAGTATCACTTTTAAAGTTAAACAACTACCTAAAATAGTAATAAAAAAAATATTAGACCTGCAACCAGCTACAATATACCATCAATTTTTCCAAAGCATGTCAATAATTTTCTTTTTCAAGCAATGATATAATACTACATGTGTAAGTATTTTTTATAATTAGTGGTTCTCACTACCAATCTTATTAAAGCTGCGACACAATACCAGCATGTAGAGTAAAGAATGTCCTCTTAGCATTGCATCCTGATTGTTAATCATAAATCATTGATGATACTCTGGGTTAAAATCAGTCTGCGGCTTTTGGGCTTCCCAATAACATCAGCATAATAATATGGTACACCAGGTTTCCTAACAGAGGTGCTATAAACTACTTCAGGACTTATTTTGGTTCATGTTGTCATTCTCTTTATCTTGATGTCCAATTATTCTATTGTCACTAATTTTTTCCCTTTCAATTTTGATCAATTTCATGAATTTAATTAACAATTATACATTTTTTTCTAGAACTGCATAATTGAATTATCAAGTATGCAGACTGATACCTTATAATGTATCTGAAACTTTTTCTTTATAATACCATTTTAACATGAATGTATAAATTTGATAGCAATTATGTTATTTAAATACCACTAGCTAGATATCAACAGTAGATCTATACCAAAAATCACAGGAAATCATGGTGACACACCCATAACACTAAATTGTTATATAATTGTGTATTTTCACACACAAACAGTTTTCATGGATGAAGCTGAACTGTGATAAAATGAGTACAGTGCTTTAATTCTGTGAGCTCAAACTTTTGTTCTGTTCTTCATGTAACATAAAATATGCAGGTTTTAAATTTTGGTTATAACACCATTCATGATCAATGTTTAGGTATTAAACAATCTACTGAAGAAGGGAAATAAATTTGTAGAGTTTAGATAATTTAACTTTTGTCTACACCGCAAATAAGGCAAAAATAAGACCCCTAGAAAATATTTATGAATGTTATTTAGTATTTATTATTTGAAATTATAACTTGGCTTCAAACATTGTATACTGGTAAGCAGGCCATAAAGTTTGTATCAATGAATTAGTTTGTTTACTAAAACTTTCAGGTTGCATTGTAATGCGAGTTTTACTGTTAATGTCTTGACTATGCATTAATTATTGGACACTTATTAGTAGTAACAATATTAGTTACAAAAGTTGCGACTGAATGTTCCTAAAATACAGCCATAGGAAAATGTAAATACTGAGAAAAAGCATTACATAATACAATTTATTTAAATATTGACAGAAGAAAGCAGACTACAGTGCTCATGTATAATGAGTTTCACTGTTTTTAAGTCTGGAATCATTTCTTCACAAACAGGCTATACACATACTAGCAATAATGGGATACCTCCTTAAGGAAACCCTATACATGTATTCTTTGTGCGACTAGATACAAAAAATCAATTAAAACCAAGTTCTGTAACAATGAGCTGTATCAAATATCACCTGGCTGGAAGACATGCTGTAGGTTTGGTATATATGATAAATTTAGACAGTAATGGATATCTGTGTATTACAATATTATACTTAAAACTTATTTTAAACTGTCCAAACAGACCGTCCAAAATCTTGGGTGGTGTGTCGATCATATATATTGTAATCTGCCAATTATTTACATACGGGGGGGATTATACATATCATAAACCTTATTTGTGAGCTGGGCAGAACAAAGCTGAAAGTGAGAGAGCACCGGGGAGTAAGGTGGGGTTGGTCAGTATCGTCAATGTTCTCTTGTTGACTCAGACGTAAAAGTCAGCTACCTGTTTTCATATGCCAAAGGTGTGTAAAGTGTTTGTGCTTTTGTCACACACTTCACGATAGTGAACAAAGGGTTCAATGTTAACACCGCATAGATCAAATATCTGCAGGACCCTACAATGTCCTAAACAAGGTTTTAAAGCTAATACATATAAAAACTGAACAATGTGTATTTCTATACTGTATGACTGCCTACTGGATCAAGTCCAACTGCTTGGTATGCAGTAAGAAGCACCTGTTTCATGGAACTATGTCGGGCAATCAATGAAACGTTTATATATTATTGTTATCTATATTTATGATCAGCTTTCAGGTTGAACAATATAATTGCCACATATAAATTGATATGAATCAATTCATTGAAGAGAAATTTTAACTCAGACTTTTAAATGCACACTTGATCATGATCTTTTCCACTCTACTTTCACTTAATGCAATTTAACAAATTACAAGTTTCTATTGAAAGCAATTTAGATATTTTTCGTATTCCTATCGTGATTTTGAAGATTTAATAAATTTTCCCTAATGAAAGAGGATCTTTTGTATATAGATTTGTATGCTTTATTGGCATAGTAAACTGGACAAACAAAAATGGGTTGATAAATTGAAAGTAAAGCGGAAGAGATGAAGACCTACCCCATTAAAGTCAATAAAACTTGATGGGTTTATAGGGCTGCCTTCCTTTTATAAATATGGATCTATTTTGTGTACATTCTAACATTAAATATATATGGTTCTCAGAATATCAATACCTTACAGCCGTAGATATGTAAATAGATGGATGTGTTGATTTGTACGGGCTGAATATGACAGGTGTGTATATTAAATTCCCACGTACTACCGCGTTACGATTTTCAATGTAAACCTTATCTGTTTACTGACGTTTCTACTAAGTACCCGTATTACTATTGCGGAGAGCCCTACTTAGTTTTAGGAAGACTCTACTGACATGCTAAGGACCCGGGGTTTGTGACCATTTCTAAACCCGTTTCTAACAAGCACAGCTCCTCTGTACATATATATTGCTGATGTTTATCGGTAACACACGGCTAGTATTTAAATAAACCTGATCACTATCACCCAATCCAACAATATATTTAAACATTTAATCTATACCAAGGCATTGTGCCATTTTGAAAATCTCTAGAATCTAGTCACAGAATTATTTCATATCAACAAACTGAATAGTATTATCAGTCTGTGTTAAAAATAGGATGTTTGAAGACCCTCAACCTGTCAGGGAAGAGAAGGATATTGGTTGTCTATAAGGGAAGGTTGTTCAGTACAACCAATAATTGACTAAGATTGTAGCTAATTCAATGGGTAACCAAAAATAACTTATTTACCATATAAATTAAATTATGACCACTTATGATCATTCCAAGTAATGTGAAGGTCAGAGCAGATTATCTAGATCTTATTTGTGTGGTCTGTCAATATATCTCTCGGGGAAAGATGAATTTTACATCAAGTATATGACATTTTAATGGCCTTATAAGACCTGATAAAATGTTTTGCAATTAATTGCTTCATTAAATATATACGTATATATATATGTATTTTGATACCGTAATTTTCCAAATGACAAAATGATAACATACACTAGTATTGAAGGTCCACAAAATTCAGTTTATATGTTATAAATCTTCTTTTTAATTTTCTAAACTTAATTAACATTGAACCTTCATAAGGTAGTTTGAATATGTCCCTCAAAATTTAACTGCTATATAGCAACACAACTATCGATCCTTTATAATGGGACTTATTACGCTTTGCAATTTATTACGATAACTGGTGGACAGATAATTGCCTTTATTTGATGATATCAATGGTACAGTAAATGTGAAACAATGATACAATTGCGATTAATAAACTATTGCTAAGTGTACTTTTGTCCACCATCGGAAATCTACAAATGATTATATAAATTTATGTCTATGTTTTTCAAATGTTATAACAAAAAACTGTCAATTTAATATGAATTGATTTTATATTTACTGGCTGTATGAAGTCTTTCCACATGCCAAGTCTCTGTAAAGGTAAAACTCAATTTTCTGACCGGTACATGTAGATTATATTTTAGTTTTAGTTTTTGCGAATGTTCTTCTGTTCTTGAGAATATTTATTGTCCAAAAACTCCATCAATGACTATCATCAAAGATATTGCTGACCAATCCTCTCCTCATTCTGAGATATTGCTGACCAATCCTCTCCTCATTCTGAGATATTATATTATTTAAGAGTAGGCAATCGTAGTTTTCTGAAGAATTCTTTTTATGACAATTCGTCTTAACTCTGCAAGAGTTAGTGGCTATTTGTTTTACAGATTCTTGTCTTTCATTTTGTATTTAAATTCCAAAAGCTAACAGCATATATACATTATATATATATGAAAGCGATTTTGCCCATTTATCATTAAAATATCCTTTTGTAATTGAAGGTATATAAAAGACATATATGTATCATTTAAAAAAACTTAAAAAGTGGAAAAAAGATGACTTAATCACTGTATATGTATTACTATCTTTCTTTCAGTTTTTTCTTATCTTTTGATAATTAATGTATAAAACATTGCACTCCAGCTTGTTTTTTTTTGGTTAAGCCAGAATGAGGCTGTCAGAATAAATAAATGCCTATACAATAATTGTTATATAGATTATAAGATACTTGGTCTTCGGTTGAAGGCAAGGAAACAATTGATTTCCAATAAACCTTATTTTAATTTCGAGACAAACTAGTATGAGATGAAAAGCATTTCTCTGTAAAGCCTTGCTGTACTAGGTCCTTATTGATTATTTAATAATAAATAATTGTATTTGTGCAGGGGTCCTTCTCATACTAGATCAATATTTCTATTTACTCCCATCCCATCTGTCAATAATTGTTTTCCGTGAGGTAAATATGACTACCCTAACATCATAACAATTTGGATTCTTGATTAAATTATATTTGTGGATGACAAATCAGGTGCTCACAACTTTATTTAGCTGTTTGCAAACTGCTCTTCAGTTCAATATGCGTTGAAATGTATTTTACACAGTTTCCCAACATATACTGTATGTATGATACACGTATAAGAAAATGGTAAACTTTAATCAATACATTAAATCAATTTCAGGTATGAACACCACATATATATTCATGGGTATGCAATTTTATATTGAAGGTGTACTAGCCAAATAGAAGATTTTGAAATACCTTTTCTTAAATGACCTTAGCTGTTGATAGGAAAACCCTATAAAACTAGTGGAATTGTAAACATATAGAGCTGTTGATAGGACAACCCTATAAAACTAGTGGAATTGTAAACATATGGTGATATACCCCTTGCTTTTGCTTGATCCAAATAAATCCAAGGTTTCCAATGTTAGATCATTCTCCCTACCTCTCTAAATTTTAATATGGCTTTTGGATTGCGATCATTTTGTCAGTTTTAAACAAGCACTGTTCAAATCTGAACTCTGTTTTTTTTTTCTTTAAAATATTTTGCAATTTGGAAAGTTTCAAAAAAAATGTTAAAAGCAGATGCATGTTTTAATTTGTAGGGTTTTAAATCTGTCTTATCCTGAAAGGCAATCAATATGCAATATATATTGCACTGTTTATGGAATGTAAACTAGCATGCCTTACTGCCAAAATTAACTGGTCTCAGGATTTTCTCAAATCAATAACAGGACCGACAGACATACAGGTGTCAGTTATTTTTCATAATGAATGTAACATATATTTCTATGCACTACCAGTAGCTTTTAGAGGAATTCTTCAAAAAATGCCAAGTGATCAAAATTATTTTCTTTGCAGAACAAATTAGTTAATATTGCATAGTGTCACTAAATGCTTTCCTGGAATACATGATTAATGGACAATAAAGAAATACAAATACTAGATATTTTAATGATGATGCATAATGTAAATGTACAATCATCGTTGAAAATTAAGAATTCTATCAGCAAAAAATGTGTTAGTTCTACTGCAACTGTTAATCGTATAGGCAGTTTAACATGCATATATATATATACATGTATGTACATAGTAGTGAAAAATGTGTGACAGATATTATGTAGAGATACATATGAGTAACGTTGGCCATGACTTACTTGAGCGTAGCTGGTCCCTGGATGCGCGTCCGGTCTTAGACTCTAACCTATTCCTGTTCTGTGAGACAGACATGTTTGACATGCGACTGTCACTCCTCTTGATTGGTTTATCACCACCATCAACTTCATCTTTTATGATTTCTGGAATTGCATTTTTATTACTAGTAGAACAACGTTTGGTTTTTGATTTTCCTTCCAGTTTGTCCACACTACTTCGCCCGGTTACTTTGATTGGGACATCCGTCCCCAGCTCCACACTGTCTTCGTCACTCTGAACCTCTCTCAGAGAAACCAGGTACTGATCCCTTCCCTCTGCCGTCTGCCACTCACGTGGGATAAAAATTACATCATTTGTCAAATCCTTCCATTGTGCCATTAGTTGATACTCTAGACCTCTAGGAATATGACTAGATATGTCATCGTAGAAATACAAATACCTCGATAATTGTTGTAGAATGTTTCCTGAGGAGGCCTTGGTATCCTCAAACAAGAATTTCTGAGATCCCTCGTCATTAGACAAGGAACTGTCTAGGTGGTTTTTTATGTGTGTCACAGCACTATTTATGTGGGGAAGTAAACTTTTCTTGCCAAGTCCGTCACCAAACGGATCTTGTTCTGCCTGTTTCTGGGCCTCACGCTCCTTGCTGGCCAAATATGCTGCCACTTTGGGGTTAAGGCGAGCATACTTGAGACTTTCCGGCAGGTCCTCCGGCATCTTCCTGTACCGCCTCCCCGGGGCTTGCTGGTCTGATTGGTCATAGAAAAAGAATTTGCTCCTTTCTGCTGCCATTTTGCCAGTTGCATCTCCTCCCATCAATTTCAGACAAACCTAAAATTTAAAAACATATGTGTCAGAAGAAAGATACTTACATTTATTCATCATAGCCAAGTTACTTATCAATTGTTAGTCAATTCCCAAATCAACTGTGAGTTTTGAGAATGGTGACTGAACTCATTACTACTTGTATTGAGATATATGTCATAACATTGGTAATAGCTGGCTGCACTGGTTATTCCATTTATTGAAATCTTTATCTACCCCAAATTTAAGAGAAGATCTGAAATCTAAATATCAATTGTCAAAATCAATGAATGAATATAAATATTAGTTTATTGAACTGTATATTGCATGCATAGATCTGCATAATGCACATTATTCAATTTGTCGTTCAGATTCACAGGACTAAACATGTCGACATTCTGAACATGTTATACAGTTTAGCACTTAAATGTGTATTAAAATAATTACAGATACCAGCCTTTCATGTCAAAATATTACAGTTTCTTACTACTGGTCATTCTGAGAGCAAAATATACAAAATAAGATTCAAAACATTTTAATAGTGACTATATTTACTTGAGTAGTTTGAATATTTTAACAGAAGCTGAAAAATATTGGAGAGTTGGAAATTCATCACGCCGAGTTATCTTGTTAAGTATTGTTGATCAAGATGCATCATCCATGTAAAATTGAATTGGCTGAATTCTTCCATAAGGTTCTACCTTACACGTCGTTTTCGATAAAACTTTTTCTCACCGGGTAAGACTGGGTTTTAGATACACATGTCACATGATAGAGGGGCATGACAGACAGCTAGACACTGTACTTCTGGTATATTCTGAAAATCTGAGGGTCTCACAAAATATATGAAAAAAACTGCCTGGTGTGTGTATCTATACTGCATAACAACAAGGTAGTAGATGCATCCCCTTCCTTAAGGACGTGACATTTCAGCAGTTTTTGTCCAAATTCACTTTTGTTTTATTTCTACGAAGTTGGTTCGCTACTGACTTATTTACATGTATTGCCCACTAATAATATACCATGTGACTGCCAAATCATGTGACTTTTGTTCTGGAAACTTGAATCTTGGAAACAACATATTGTTTTGACATTTTATTGGTGGACATAACAAATATCCTATCATGCATAATGTTCTATTTCTAGAGTATATTGGAAAAAAAATCACAACTCTAATTTTGGGAAAAACAACATCAAAAATCACATTTTTTTGGGAAAATTCAAACTTTTGAAGTTCAAACTTTTGAAGTTCTATCATTTTGAAACCTTTTTTTGTAATGAGTAAGAAAATAAAGCATTCTTTTAATCAGATAATCTTTTCTATAAACCTTCTCTGACTGTAGTTATTTGGTAACTTACAACACTGACAGTTTTATCATTATGTGAGAAATTTATAGTAATTTTAGTCGAGTTCAATACAATTGATACATCAAAAGTAAAAAAGGCAGACAGTGGCAGTGCTTCTCAATATTAATACCTTAAAGAAAGTTCATTTTACAAACTATCTGTGGTAATATTTGCGCTACTTAACTATATGTGTTAGAATCTATGCCTGCTTTAAGGAAATAAAGTTTCAAACTTTCATTTTCATAACTACAGCTGTACAGTAACAGTAGACAAACTTCACGATATCTGTAATGATAGTTATGTTATGTCTACATGATTATTTCATGGAAAATGTCGAAAATATCAAACTTCAACGCAAACAGTTAGCCTAGCTACGTGAAACGAATACAAACATGTGAAGGGGCATGTCACAGACGGTGACCCTCCATATACACGTCTGTGTTCAATGATTCATAGACAACAGAGCGTGTCCGTAGCACACCTGTTTCTCTGTTTTGATTACGGTTTTCTATCTGTTCAACATACAAAAGTTCCCGAACGAATATTTAGCAATGTAAGTAATAGTTACCGTTCAATCAGTACGATCGATATCCTTCACTACGACTTATTTTTCACAGTTTGCTCCATATTACACGTCCAATCGAAGTACCTGTCGCCTGTGTCCGCCATCTTGTTTACAGCGCCATTACTCGGTCAACTTCGTAACTAGGCAACACAGGACGCTTTGGCTAAGTGTGCCCACTTCTCGATGAGAGAAAGTTAGGAGAGATTGATTTATAGTGTAGATAAAATACTTATGTGGTATGATAAAGTAAACTTTACTAGCACGAGACAGTTAAACTAGTATGATTATTTCTGCTGAAAATAATTCTAGCTGTTTTGATTAGAGATCGAAAGATTATGAGTGACATAACGTTATGTAGAGTAGACCACTGTCTCTAATATTAAAAAAATGCTGTGTCTTTCCGATTTAGAGTCTGACCTGTTGGAAGATACATTATCACGTTACATACATTGTATTTATATCAATAAATAAAACAGTAGATCTATATCTGTCTGAAAATATGTTTTTAGTGATCATAGTTAACATACAATACAATAGGATAAATAATCGATGCAGGACACTCTGCCTCCATATCTTAATATATTTTTAACGTAGGCCTACTTGGAAATTATTATTTATTAATTGTCATTCCCTGAGATTTCTTTATGGCCGACCAAATTATTGTTTTCAGTTCAAGGTTTTTTCAATAAGTATCAATTATTTTAAGATTAACGTTGATGTAACATATTCGGGGAGATTGTTCCAGATTCGACACTAACCATAAAGCTAAATGGATATTTCCGAATATCATGCTTGCAATGTTTTTCCCTGATATTCTATGCATGTCCCCTTGTTCTAGACGATGTATCTAAGGCGAAGATTCCTTTGTTACCTAATGGTCAAGTTGGTTGTTTATTATTTTAAAAAACATTTATGAGGTCGCAGCCTCTCAATCTCCGGTAGGCCTATGTCAGGGTTGGAATACCTATATCCTTTTCAAGCGCTCTCGGTGTGGTAACTCTTACCTGGTAACGGTTTCACGGCTCTTCTTTGTACCTTTTATATGCATTTAATATCCTTTATTTCATGTGGGCTGCATTTTCTAGATGAGGTCTTACTAATGCCTTGAAAAGTTGTTTGAAAGAAACCCGATCCAAATAAATGAATGATCTCCTAATGAGTCCCAATATGCTGTTTGCTTTATTTACTGCTTCCTGTATATGAGCCGAGAAATTAAGTTTAATATGTAGAAGTTGGAATAGATTTTTTTTGTTAACAAAACTTAAATTGAGCATGCCGCATACCCAGCCATCAAGCACATTTGCATCCAACTTATTTAACCTTTGATCAGAGCCATAACTCGTTACATTACAATTGTATCCTAATCTATATGTCTCTGCTTTGATATATATTCAAGAGATGGATCTCACATTGACATACATAGAGTTTAATGAACGTGTTTGTGCATCTTCTCTGTGCCGGGGTAATGCAGGTACATGACACTTAAAATTAACCAAGAGTATCTTGCGGATTAGAAGTTACAGTCTGAACAAGTTTTCACTTAAAGACATTTGACCTAGAGGTGAAGGTCACTGTGACCTTTATAGTAATACTTCTGAACTCTCTCTCTCTCTCTCTCTCTCTCTCTCTCTCTCTCTCTCTCTCTCTCTCTCTCTCTTTTGTTTCATTATTGATTTGTGTAAAATTACTTGATGTTGCCATGTACATTGTAAAAAAACATTTCTGGGAGAAGGCTTCATAAGTTGGAATAACTTGTGCCTAATCCATTTGCAAATTCTGCAATAAAATATGTTTAAATCAAATAAAAGTATTGTCTCTCAAAGTGTAGTAATACGTACTATTGCACTTCACACCTTCTGTTGGTGATGCCGTCACCGTACATATAGTTTCATCACGATGGCGTTAACGGTCTAATTTTTACACTGCCCTCCGTGCAACTTGAGAGTTTCAGCAAAATTGCATTGCAGATGAATAACCTTTGACCTGGAGATGTACATGTACATGTAGGTCAAGGTGACATAAAATACACTTGAGCAGACTGTACATCTTCTCTGGATATTGCAGGTACATGTGCACTTCAATTAGACTTCATCAACATATCTGTAAATAACACTCCAAAAGTTACAACCACAATAAGATTTTACAGGTAATTACGCATTTATCTATTTTTGATCATTGACTTAAAATAAAAATAAATTGAATGAATGTCACTGTGACTTAATAACATTTCCCTGCACGCCGTCTGTAGGTAAAGCAGCTATGCTTAAAGTTTGATAAGATATATTCAACAGTCTACAACTAAAAGCCCGGATAAGATTTCATTGGAGATTTTGTATTTATTTTAGCTTTGACCTAGAGGTGATATAATATAAGCAATTATACTGACCAGTTTCTGAATGTGTTACACTTTTTTTTTTACAAAAAGGACTATCTTACCTTTGACCCAATAGCATTAAACTTCACACCTTCGGTCACGGGTGATTCAAGTACAGTTGAAGTTTAATCAAGATATCTTCAGGGTTTAAAATCAACAACAATGGCAAAAAGCAACGTCAAATATTGTAATTCGTTTTAGCTTCTTTTTAGCGCTTTACCAATCAGCGACTTAGAACTACCATCATTTCATTGTTTGCGTGTACTAGGTATTTTTTAATGCCTACGCTAGGAGTCTAACCTCTGGTTTACTAGTCTTACGCTCTACCGACTGAGCTAAAACAAAATCTCGAATCTCGAGTTTTCCATGGTCATAGCGATTCCTTTGCAAATATCGCTGAGAATTTTGTCACATCTCCCGGGTTCCTACATGGGCGCCGATATAACAGAGATCATTATGTTTCAATGCCTCCGCTAGGAATTGAACCCGGGATCTCTGGCTTACTACTAGTCTTACGCTCTACCGAATGAGCGATTTAAAGAGAAAATTCTCCTTAGCCGAGTCGGTAGGAAGTGGCTAGTATTTCAAATTGCAATATTTAATTTGAGCACATAGTCTTCAAAAATCTTAACCACTCTAACGGTAGGCCTACCGCGTACCTCATGAGAACTGCGGTTTTGAAATTCCGTAATAGATGTCTGTGTCGTTAGCCTGCCGATGACATACAACTTCAATGAAATAAAGATAAAAGTAGTAAATAAATTGTGTTTCAGAAATTCCGTAATAGATGTGTCGTCTGCTTGCCGATGACAGATATCTTATTACAGACTAAGATAAAAGTATTAAATAAATTGTATTTCAAAATAAAAATAAAAGGATTATCAAATAAAAAGATATTAAATGGTTTCTTACATCGTCGTCGTCCCCTCGAATCTGGCACGATAAAGGTATATACATCTAATTCTTAGATAGAGCGCAAACAATATTGTACTTAATGCTTCTTCTTAGTGTACAACTAATGTATGACAACAAAGTAACCAGTACTAACAGAGTAGTCTCCCTTCGGTCGAAGAGACGACATCAATGTGATGCACGTACAAGAAGCCTAGCGAATAAGAATGATCTTTTGAGTACAAATCAGATTAACTAGGCTGGGGAAGTATAGGCATTTATGATGATTCATTAATTAAATTTAATAATCTATGGACAGTTGAAAGGGTTTTCTTTAATGTTTTTTTTTTTCATTTTTTTTTCATTTCTTTTTTTAAAGTTTTTTAGTTGTTTTTAGTTTCATACTTTCAGGTGTAATTTCCAATTAAGGTATGTAATACACTTGTATTGAATAAGACTGAAGACACAAACAAAACATATGAAACCAACGATGCATACTTCAACAAATGTAAATGTTTAGAAAAGGTTTTCAAATTAACTATCTGAATTCTTAAAGAAAGAAAAAAAGATTATACAGGCGATATGCCAATTACAAACTATATCAATCTATCCAGAGGAAATATTCTTAGACTCAAAAATCTGTTGATTATGTTTCTATAACAATTCGTAAAACATTACAGTAAATCCGGTATCAGATTTGGTTCCTAAACACTGTATTTGTATCCTCCCTTGATTGATGGATAGAAAATGGAATACATGTAGTTCGATTAGAGATTCCGACATTGCCATCGTGGAACAGGTAAATGACTTCATTCCTGTCAAAGTAATAACAGTACGTCCTAATGATAAACCATGGCTGAACAGTACTTTAATACTAAAGATGAGACAACGCAATAGAATTGATAGAAAGGCCAAGTTAACTAACAATCCTCACTATTGGAACATATTTGGGATTCTCAGGAATGAAGCCTTTGACTTCATCCGTGAAGCTGTCAACTTATAGCAAAACTCTAGAATGGTGGAAAATGGCTTAATCTATCTCCAACTTCACCAATAAATCTGCTCTCATTCCTCCTCTTGTAATTGATAATCAAGCCGTTCACCATCCTATTGATAAAGCTGAGATCCTCAATAATCACTTCATTAATTTCTCCACACCCTCACGTTACCTCCAACCTCCTCAGACAGCACAACCCGCCATTCCTTTGATTCATTATGGAATATTGATATTAATGAACAAGATGTATTCGAACAAATAAATACTCCTACTATAAATAAGCCACCAGGACCTGATTGAATGGTTCGTAAAATTATTCAAAGGTCGAATTCCTCTCTAACATTACCCATCGTGACCTTTTTTAATAAAACACTAGAAGCAGGAGTGGTTCCCAATAGCTGGAAACAAGCAAATATAAATGCAGTTTGTAAAGGGAATGGATCATCTAATGATGTTTTAACCTATATACATATTTCAGTAACTTCACGCTTTAGTAAAATTATGGCATACTTGTGTTGAAATATCTTTATAACTGTCTATAATCACTAAGCACCAATCTGGATGTATACCTGGTGATTCAACAGTTAATCAACTCTTGTTTATATATAATGAAATGGTTAGAAGTATGGACCAGAGATAAGGAGATTAGGTTTATTTTCTGTAATATCAGTAAAGTATGTGAGAGGGTTTTGCATACAGGTCTCATTAATAAATTTGGGACATATGGTATTGATGATAATCTGCTACTCTGGTTTTAAAACTATTTATCAGATAGAACGCAATGAGTTAATTAGCACTGAAGGATAATACTGTCAGTTTAGGACTATAAATGCAGGGGTACCTCAGGGATCTATTCTGGGACCAATTCTGTTTCTTCTTTATATTATTGATATGACTGACAATATTTCTACTAATATTAAACATTTTGCAGATAACACTTCCCTGTATGTAATCAAAGACGAAAATCCAGTTCAGGCAGCCCAAGATGTCTCGAATGACCTTATAAATATAAGTGAGTGGGCATACATATCGTATATATTTCAACTCGAAAAAAACGAAGTCACATACATATGTAGGACTAAATTTTACAGACGACGCATCATGGAAACAACCCATACAAATTATATATGAAAAAGCACACACCAGACTTAATATTCTTCGTTATATCAAATCGAAGGTTGGTAGTAAATCATTTATTAAAAGCCGTCGCTATTACAATCCGAGTGTCAATAGCGACTGCCGCGTGGCAATCGCTATTGACACTCTGGGCATCTTCTCTGGAAAGCGGTTACCGGGTGTAAGGTTCCGTATTTACACATCAATTTTTACGTTGCTTTGTACCTTAGTAATCAGAAGTTAAAATAAAGTTTATTCTGTAATTTCATCTACGTTACAAAAAGATATGCCAGTTTACTATTTTTTTTTATTATTTCATTTCATCGACGAATGGGTACATATTCAACAAATTAATAATATATGCCTTATTGTATCAGTTTGTGTATTCAACTGTTAATTATTGACGTTGGATATATTAATCATACCCCGTGCATTTGTTGCAAGAAGCAGTCCTTCAAACATTTAATAAAACTAGCACGGAGTTATTCCGTCTTTGCGTATTGCAGAGTTATCTTCTCTTGAGAGCAGGTATTGATTGTTACGTCATTGGTTTGTGTGAGAAAATTACGTCGTTTTCTCAAAAATTGATGACGTTACTCTCACAAACAAATGACGTAACAATCAATACCTGCTCTCAAGAGAAGATAACTCTGCAATACGCAAAGACGGAATACTAGTTCACAATTTATTGAATGTTTGAGGGACTGCTCCTTCCAACAAATGGTGATGGAGAAAACCAGGTCAAGGGTTAACCAGGAGCCAACTGTATTGGACCTAGTTATACTAAATGACGGGAACGTTGTGTCCCATATTGATTATCAAAGTCCGTTGGGTCCGCAAGCGATCATAGTGTCCCATACATTGGCTTTTCATGCTATGCAACATATGAGGTAAAAAACCAGGAACGTTATATCTTCGTCAAAGCAGATCATGTGCTACTGATACGCGAGATGTGATGCGACTGGGTATCATTACTGGTAGGAAAGAATGTAGAGGAAGCGGATGCTATTAGAAGAAGTATACTAACCAAAAATATCAAACCCCCTAAAGGTAAAACACCTCTGGATATAACAACAGTTCAATGTATCAGACGCAAGCAGAAGGTTATGGAGGAGATATGAAGACGAGGGACTCTAGGAAGTACAGAGATTATTGCAAAGCTAGGAACAAACTTAAACACATCATAGCAAAAGACAGGAAAAGAAAATAGCTGAATCTGCCGAAAGAAACTGCAAACAGATTTGGAAATATGTGAACTTCAAGCGGATGACAAAGTGTGGAATATCAGAACTACATACAGAAATAAGTGGTGAACAGGTAATCTGTAATAAAGATTCAGAAAAAAGCTGATATTATGGGTGATTTTTTCAGCATTGTGTTTACTGTAGAGAATGAGGATGCCATTCCAGAGGTAGTTACAGCCTTGGGAGAGGAACGGTGAAGTGATGAAATATTTCAGGAGGAATATTTTAAAAAGAAAGCTGTTATTGGATTTGGACACATCTAAGTCACCAGGTTCGGACAAATTTCATCAAGTTGTATTGAAGCTTCTTGCTAATGTGATTCATATTCCACTGTGCATCATATTTAATCGGTCATTCGAGTCTGGAACTGTACCAAAGGAATGGAAGGAAAGTCAGCTTTCAGCTTTATTTAAGAAAGGAGATAAAAGTTCACCATCCAGTTATAGAGCTGTCAGCCTTACTGGTGGGATTTGCATGACCATTGAAAAATTAGTTAGGAAAAAGATTGTTGCACATATGGACAAACACCATTTATATAGTGACAAGCAATTTGGATTTATAGAAGGAGGGTCAACATCCCTACAGCTACTCGAAGTATTAGATCGTTGTACAACTATCCTAGACGAAGGAGGGAAGTGCATGGGTTTTGAGAAAGCATTTGATAAAGTGCATCATAGGGGTCTCATTAAAAACCTTGAAGCCTATAACATGAGTAAAAGAACATGTAAATAGATTGAACACTTTATTAGTAACAGGAAACTGAAACTGTTCAAGTCACTGGTACGTCCAATTCTTGAATATGCCAGCAGATTATGGTCAAGATATAAAAAAAGAAGAATGTTGACTATATCGAAAATATCCAACGTAGAGCTACCAAGATGTTACCTGGAATGGATGACAAGTCTTATGAAGATCGTTTGAAAGAGCTTAAATTACTAACACTGAAGTTCAGAGAGGTACGAGGTCATCTCATTGAGACCTTCAAAATACTACATAGTATCGATGACAACAGAGTACCAGGAGGGATATTCCAACTCAAGGACAACAGTACTACAAAGGGGTACTCTCTGAAAATAGTGAAACAGCTGAGTAAACAGGACATCCGAAAGCATTTCTACACGATTCGAGTAGTTATGTAGTATATGGAACAACCTTCCAATTTATGACATTGAAACTCAGCTAGAATGGTGAGTTAATAAACCCAGAACTGACAAAGGTACAACAGTGCCGTCGGATGAAGCAGAGCTGAACATAAGGCGCAATAAGGGCCTGCATTCAGATTCATCATAAGGTATGACGTGACTTGTTCAGATCGAAAGCCAAGTAATATACAACATGGCAGCGCATTACTTTCGCTTTGCTGGAATGAGACGAATATTTTGAAATAATTCCGTTGTTAGAATACACGGTTGGGAATTATTGTCGGACACCTTATGATGCTATTTGGTAACTCTTGGGCAGTTAATTAACTGACATTTGACTGAATAATGCGTTACATACGAGCTGTATAATTGGAGAAAATTAACGTTTGTATAAACATTTCAACGTCCCTGACCAATCTGTTTTGTCGATTTGTTAATGACTGTCCATATTTTACAGATAATTTATCCTTTAACCTCACACTTAGTACCCTGTACCGTAAACAACGACGGAAGAAACATTACATAACTTTTCATAGGTTTGATTGAACGGTTTCTAAGAAGTCACAAGTTTCCAGTTTCTACCAACTCCTTTTTTTTTCTCATAATAACTCTACATTTTATAAGAGAATATAAGTCATTTACACGGTCAACATCCTACCAAAGATGTTGTAAAAATGTATCTTAAAATAGATAAACAAAAAATCTACTCTTTAAAATTAATATTTTGGTTAAAGTTCAACGGGGAAAAATTCGACCAGATCAGCATATCAGTAACGATGAATACCTTTACTAATGACTTGTAAAGAAATCAGTTTGAATTTTCAAATCAATCAATGAGAATCATTCTAATATGTATACATACAATTGGCGAACTTCAGCAAGTCTATATACGTTTAATAGCTGAAAATTCCCCCTTGGAAACCCCATTTTATCACGGGTTCGTTCTAAACTAGGGCCAAAAATAATTGTTTCCGGTATAGGTCTACGGATTTCAGGTACGTCTGGAAGTGATATCTAACCAGCATTTAGGTGCGTATTCTAACACCTGTCACACTGACATATATATACTAATTTGAAAAACCATCACACATCGTTACACATGTATTGTTTACAGATGGCTTAGATGGTGGCAATGCGAAATGCATGGGTTTTGTTTACGTATGAACGAACCACTACACAAAATGTTTTGTTTACTTGTTTTTGGTGTGGTGTATTTACCTGGCATTTTCTTCGTAACACTTGAAGCGATATCTGGGTTACTTCGACATCCTAACGTACACGTTCTAGTTGTCTAGTTATGGCTCAAACATTTCACAAAACTAACGATCTAGCATTATAGAGTCATACAAGGAGCTAGTTGAATCTACTGTTGTATATATATAAAAGACGGACACAGTTAGATGAAATATGTGTATATTTTTGTTTGCTGATTGTTACTAAAATCAAGCTTCATTATTCCCACTATCCGGGCGGAGTTAAGTGGTAAGTATGCCCCTTTTCTACTTCGAAACGAGTGTAAACTGACTAATGAGGCTTGACTGCATACACCGACACCACAGTACCACCGGTCTGGTTAGCTTAATAGATAGGTTTGGTTTGGTTTCATTACGGTCAGCCTATATCAGTAGCTTTTTTAGATGCATTTAGATACCCAGGCCATAATTCATCCAAAATCTGACGCAGTAATAAGAAAACTTACATTTGTTGACAGAGAAGCTGTTATGACGTAACGTCATTTATTTTTGTGAATGTTTACTATCATTTTAGTTATCCATTTTGGTTAGTGGCACACTCAAAATACACAACCGGAAGTAATGATTTATTCTACAGTTAACTTAAGCTTCCTGTTGTTGTTCTGATAGACCAAATGATCCGTGACGTCACAAGTTATCTTTCAGAATGTTAATATGGTATTTTCCTGACCATGGTAGGTTTGATGAGAATCGTCGGCTACGTGGTCGGCTGCGTATTATGTGTACCATATCGATTTATGTTTTAATATAATTTAGGTCGAAAGAACATGACATTTTCGTCCAAAACATATCACAGGAGTGACAAAAGTCGTAGTATTCATGTGAGAGGTTCTGACGACATCCAACTGCTGTATTTAGTATAGATAAACTACTCGAGCAAAACGACTGAAGAAATATACAATAGTTATGTATGAGAAGCTATCATGAAATCCCGTCGCTATATTTCATTTTGACTTACTACTTAAGCCTAAACAGTGTTCCTGTCTAAAACAATTTCAGAGCATGGCAGGTTGGATGGAGATCGTCCTCGCCCTCGTGGTCGGCTACGTATTATGGAAAGTCATCCCGGTCTTGTGGAGGTATTACACCTTCTGTCAGCTGGTCAAGCCATTTAAGTCCAAGAGAAAATCAAACTGGTTTTTGGGACATCTTATACATGTAAGTGTTAACATGTCGCTTTGATTATGATACAATGTTTTGCACCCAAGCTAGGATCTGTAGATGCTGGAATCTGATGATGACAGATTCATGTCAACCAACAAGATACTTGACCCTTTAATTAAAATATTTTGTTTTTATCTACTTAATTTGTAGGGTTTAGTACATTTCTGGTTGATAGATAAATGCGTGCAGTCCTGTGTGTACACTATAACACAGCACTGGAGTCATTCTGTATTGATAGATGTTATTCGATAGTGTCTTCACGACCATATGGTACACAACATGGTACACAACATCCCAATAATCGCAGGTTATTGACTTACCCGAGCGTGCCTTTCTGTCTGCTGTCTTGGCGGATTCTTTGTCCCTGGGAATGACCTGGTTCTGTGTCTGCATTCTATCTTGATATATAGCTATATGGTCCCTAACTCGTGGCGTATATCCCCACCCTATTAGTATCGCATGTTTTCGTATAAAAGCCAGCATAGTTGTCCAGTCTAATTTTAACGAAGGACAATCAGTGCCATGACTCCACATTACTTTCACAAATAAACTATAATATATGACCATTATTCCATATTCTTTGGAGTCGTGAAATATGACATTACTCAACTTGTAATCAGAATAACACTTATTTGATATTTTACAATGAGTCATCAAATGATTGTAAAGCTTGTTTTATCACAATGTTTCAAATGTGGAATATATGTGCTTCTCATATGTGAAGACGGGGAAAAGGTTTTAATGCACGAAACAGATGATGAAAATGTAAAATGGAGTTCTTTTTCAGTAGACTCCATTTTTTATTTTTATCAATTAGACGGAAATACTTCATCATAGATTATAAGGCATTGAACAAATAAGAGTACTATATATGTTTTATGGTGGAGCTGTACTTTCAATAGTCATTTCCTTCCATTGAATTGTTCATGTACGTGCTATTTTCATTACTACTAAAAATTTCCTGACTTTGAAACTCAAATTTTAACACAGTCCAGGCACTTAATCTATAATTAATATTTACGTTATGTCTAGATGAGTTTTACAGAGTCCGTGATTACATCAATAGCGAAACTAATGGAAGATAACACAAACAAAATGATGATTGAATGGATGTCCTTTATACCAAACCTACATGCCATACATCCTGATACCGCCGCAACCATTCTCAAGTCATCAGAACCAAAACCAAAAGGACGAGGCGAACCCTACAGCCTCTTTACACCATTCCTTGGTAAGGTTACAGTAAATTATTCGTAAACTCCTATCACAGAATACATGTTTTACTGAGTTCACCATCAGTCGTAAACTCCTATCACAGAATACATGTTATATTGAGTTCATCATCAGTCGTAAACCCCTATCACAGAATACATGTTATACTGAGTTCATCATCAGTCGTAAACTCCTATCACAGAATACATGTTATACTGAGTTCACCATCAGTCGTAAACTCTTATCACAGAATACATGTTATACTGAGTTCATTATCAGTCGTAAACTCCTATCACAGAATGCATGTTATATTGAGTTCATCATCAGTCGCAACGACTATTTTAGGGTGAATTATACTGGATAGAACCGCATGGTTTCCAAAACGGTAAAAATGCTTCTTTGTTGAAAAAAGTGGATAAGATGTATTAAACAAGTTTTCATAAATTGACAAGTTATTTTCGTCGATTGCACGTACATGCATTTTCCTGAAATGATTATATTATCCTAACCTTATTTCGATGATGTTGTTTTTGAGTTAACTAAATTAACTTTAAATTAGTTATATATCGATTATGAGGGGTGGGGATTTCGTGGATACTACATTCTTGTTAAAACCCGAATATAATAACTCAATTGATTTGCGCTATGAACACAAGTTTAATCACATTTGTTTATTATTTAAATTGGCTGCACGTTTTTATTGTTTCAAGTTTGCCGTTGTAAATATCAGAATAGAAGAACGATTGCAGGAGAATGTCAATAATTAAGATTACAAGCCAGCCTGAGAAAGGCTGTTAAAACGAATACTTACAATATACACTTACGTCATAGTTTGATAGTAGCTATGAAGTCATCGTTGTTTTTCTTATATTTGTAATACAATTTTTCACTGATTGTGCCTTGACAAAATGGACAAAAAGCCTCTAAAACTCGATGAAATTTATCACAAGAACAGCAGTAAATTTCATATTTGTCTTTATGATATTTTTAATAATATTTTCAGTAATACTCATTCAACAAATATGTAATTGATGTAGCGTAATTCCCATCATTTCTTTAAAAGGTGATGGTCTAGTTGTCAGTAACGGTACAAAATGGGAACGAAACCGGAAGTTGCTAACACCTGCTTTTCATTTTGATATCTTGCGTCCCTATGTTGATATATACAACGAAGCTGCGGACATTTTATTGGTACGTAAGGGGGATCGATAGTTGATAAATAATATTTAGAAAAAATCGTAAAGGTCTTTGCAACAGCTGGGATAATACAATGTATACAAATTTAGTTAACGGAACGAAAATAAAAACGATGTTTATTAATTATTTTCTTTGGTCTGCTATATGAACGCGCAGAACAAAAAGACTGACCCTATTCTGAAGAGGTGTTCAATACTATTCAGCTACATTTTACTTTTTGGTAACACAATTTTGTTTGAAACATTCACTTATTTTTAGAATATTATTTATTATATTACAATGATTATAAAAGAGCGTTATGTTAAGTCACTGAAATGCATTTATTTGTGCTTTTATACTTTTTCACAGGACAAGTACGCTAAAAACATGTCAGAGAGTCCTAATAGCCTTGACGTTATGGACGGACTAAACCTGGTCACTCTGGATATAATATTACGTTGCTCATTATCCTATGATGGAAATATTCAGGAATAGTAAGTATGCTTCCCTCACCTCTACCTCTAACAATATTTACATTTCTACTGAATTTACACTCAATATTCATATTAAACATTTTAAGGTTGTTTTTCAATGAACTTTTCAGTTGGCGTATGAATGCATCAGCATATAATCAACCTGATTGCTCTTTTATGACGCGGAGCGCGGGGAGTAGTTCTATTATGTTGATTTTTTTTTATCAGATGTTTTTAATTGAATCAAAGAAACCTATTAACATCTGAATTTGTCTGTTCTTGTAATCAATGTAAACAAGTTATTCATCTAACCAGGACGACGTCTTACAGTGAGTGCTGACGTCATTAGCTTCGGTACCTTCTGTGCTGTTAGACTTGCACAAGACCGATTTTTTTTTAAAATTATCAAAAATATCAACATCGCACTGAATGTAAATATAAGGATACAATCCTGTTTTGTTGAGGTTTATGGGATATAAATTTGAAACAAATTCAATATGAACTGCTTTGCAGTTTCATAAAGTTTGTCTCAAGACCCATTGTGGTTAATACCCCATAAACCTCATCAAAACAGGATTCAATCCTTAATTAAACAATACTTCTCTAAATTTCGAAATTCATAAAGAAGTGTAAAAAAGTATAACCCGCGGGCAATACTCAAGAAATATTGGTACTATATTTGTAACCAAATTTTTAAAGGTGTGAGTTACGTTTATCACTAAAAACGTAACTGTTTAATTACCAATGCAATTTCATAGCTGAGTTAATGTGTTACTATTATTCAAGGTACAATAGTATCGACCTTTCTTTACAGTATATCTTGTTAAAGCTTATAATTCAAGTGTAAGTTGATCAATCAAAAACTATAAATCGCTGTTATAGTATCATTTAGGAGAAAACGAAATAGTTTACATAATGAAAGCACATCAACAATCATAACCAAAGTTTATTTTTCTCTCCGAAACGTCAATGCCATCTTTTTTGGGTAAGTCTGCAGTCTACATTAATAGCATAAAAATGGATATGTACCCCCCTTTCATTCATACATCTATCAATAATATTAATATTTTCGTTTCCTTACTTCCAGCAAAGAGCATCCTTACGTTAAAGCTATTCACGAGATTTCCAGACTGACAATGGTGCGCGTCAGGTAGGATAGTATACTTAATTTAACAGTATGGCTTTTAATATCACTTTGGATATTGCTGCTTTTGATTTACTACATGACGAACGGTATTATACATTGTATATAACATTAGTATACCATTAGTATTCTCAAATACGTCCTATTTATTGTCTAACCGTTTTTCTTAATTACAGTAAACCATGGTACTTCTTATCTTTGACCCTCTTCAAGATGACTTCTCAAGGGAAAGAGTACATGAACCACGTGAATTACATACATAGATTTGCTGACGAAGTAATTGCGATAAGGAAAAAGGCAATAGTACGTATATTCCAGGTGTTATAAAACGCTATGCAAACATGAGGTAATAGTTATGTGTAATTTTAATCAATTCTATCGATCCATTGCAATTGCTGTATTAACTATAGATAGTAATAAGGCCTCCGCTGCCAATAAATTGCCGTTAAATGTGTTTTCCCCCCTCTTTTAATATCAACCTCTGACTTTCTGTTTATAGTAACAATGACCTTAAACACAATGTCGGTGAAGAGATGAGTAGGAAAACCTCGAATGGCGATATTTTTTTTGGGAATAGGAAATAACACCAAAATGTCAGCAAAATCGTATTTTGTACTCGAAATCGATAAACTAGGGCAATATATGAACAAAAGTAATTTCAACAAAGAGACCCTTGCAAAATTACAATAATAAGACCATGCGTTACGGAAGGGTAAGCGTTTGCTTTTGCCCTGCTGATATCCATGTAATTGTTTACATTCGTACACATTTGAATCATGTTTAAATATGTTTTTGATTCGTTCTCACAAACAGGCAGATGATCTGTCGTTACTTCAGAAAAGACGGAAGCTGGACTTTCTGGATATTTTATTGACAGCTAAAGACGAATCTGGATCCGGGCTGACTGACGAAGAGATTCGTGACGAGGTCGATACCTTCATGTTTGCAGGTATGTTTCCTCATGGTTAAAAAAGAGACAAAAGTGAAAGCGTTCTTGCCATACTATATTTATTTAAATGTTCCCTTCTCTTCGTAAGCAGGATTTTGAAAATAATTAAACACAAGCAGCTCGGCATATCTCCTTAACCACGAGTGAAAAAAAAATAATATCAATTTTGTGAAAACTTTCGCGAATACTGTAAATATTTTCCAGCAAACTGACAGTAGTTTGATATGCCCAACCAATTGGAAGTATACAATTATGTGTCGAAAATGCCTCCCTCATTGGTTCAGCAGTTTTGGCATTCCCTTATCAAATAATTTTCTTTTTGAAGTTTAGAAATGTTTTTGTACTCTCAATAACGGCTCATTTTCGTTGTAGGACCAACTTGCATTTGATGCTATTTGTTACCATTAGTTGTTCTCGCATAAAGTCAAGTCAAAATTTCGAAAAAAATATTTGCTAGTTTTTAAAGGCAATTCTGATATTTATTGACAGAAATGCCACCGGTAGAAATCTAGTCATATGTTAATCGATTCAAAATAGCTCAAGGAATTTTTACACATTAGAATGAAAATTGCCAATCAGATTTGTATACCTCTCTGTCAAAGAAAAGCTAACATTTGGATAAAAGAGATCACTTGCCAAATTTGAACAGCAGAGGTGTTAGTAAATATTATATGTGACTGTCGGGCTTTTCCTAAGTAACCAGCACAACTGTGGCTTTTACTCCATTTCGTTCATTTATCCCCTCCCAGGACACGATACTACCAAGGCAGTCCTTGGATGGGCAATATACAATCTTGGGAAGTACCCAGAGGAACAGGAAAAGCTTTTCCGGGAAGTGTGTGACGTCACGGGAGACCGGAAGGACATAGAATGGCAAGAGCACAACACATTGATTCATATCAAAACATACGATGAAGTGCCATATCTTTAATATAACAGCCTAATGTTACCGTAACAAGCTGTGACATTTCAGAAGGTTGCACTTACAGCTGCCATGTTGAAGCAAAACATTACGGGAAGTTAGTTTCTATTACTTAAAATGTGTAACTTATTTTGGTATATTCTGTATCAAGACGAAGTATTTTGAAATTGCAAGATGTATTTTAAGTTAACGGAAAATTAATAATAATTAGAGAAATGTTTGAAATATGCCGCACAGCATCCATTTCTGTCACAATCGTTTAGGAAAATTTCATTCCGAAATCTCCTTTACCGTTAGACGAGATAATGTACAGCAAGTGTACACTTACAGAAATACATGTATTAAACCTGCTTTATGTATGAATTTGAATTCGTTCAGTCAAATGAACACATTTTTAAACTCTTTATAGGGAGGATCTTGGTAAACTAAAAAAGATGTCGATGTTTTTGAAGGAGACTATGAGAATGTATACACCAGCAGGATCGACAACCCGATCTTTAACAAAGCCACTTGAAATTGAAGGAGTGACTCTTCCTGCTGGAACTTGGATTATGGTCAACTTTTATTGCATTCACTACCGGCCAGATATCTTCCCTAACCCAACGGTAAGTATAATAGGTTCTGATCCAAAGACTTGTCATTATGTCCCTCAAACGGAGTTTGGGGACATATTGTGTTTACTCCGTTTTAAATTATTTGTATTATCATTGTTATTCTTATTATTCTTCTTCTGCTTTCTTTCGTTGACGTAGCAACCACATAGCAACCACATGGAGGCTTCTGATTGGTCAAAATTTAGATATTTTTCGATTTTGATGAAAATTGGTATATAGGAGTATTAGGAGACAGCGAATTCAACCGCATATGTTTCGTTGCCATAGCAACCACACATAGTCTTCTTATTGGTCGAAATTTAGATATTGTTTGATTTTGATGAAAATTGGTGTATAGGGGTATTAGGGGACTTCGAATTCAACCACATAGGTTTCGTTGCCATAACAACCACACAAATGCTTCTGATTGGTCGTAAAGTATGTACATTTTTGGTGTAATATGGTTATGTTTGTAGATGTATTTATTACATTTTAACCTGTGAAATATACAAACAAATAAATATAAGTGTGATAAAAACCTTATGTTATATCTGCAATTGTTATGTTATGAGGTCCAGTAACGATTTGATATAGACCAATCAAAATTATATTTTCTATTTACTGTCGCAGATAATATGAGACGGTAGAACAAGTGGATGTTTTTGTATATCTTTAGTGCATACAGAATTTTATTAAAACACTAACGCAATAGATAACATTTGTGAGCTAAACCTACCTGAAAATAGCAGAAAAGGGTATGATTGCGTTGAGTAGCCCATTCAAAAACACAAGCGCAACGTCATTAGAACCCGGTGTCAAATAATGCGCTACTTAATCTCGCACTGTTTTGATTCAGCAATAATTTTGTCGTAAAACTTATACCTTATAAAAAGGTTTAGTTGTTTTCCTGTTAAATACCCCATCTATTTCACTTTCTGCCATAATCGTAACACATGTATGGTATTTATTCAACGGATTACTATTAAAAAGACATCACGGATTTGGCTACTATATATTCATGAAAATTAATTGATATAAGATAATTATCGGGATTCCAACCTGGCTGACCAACGCGTTGATCAGGGATTCGCTCTGTGTCAGAGCTTCTAGCGCATGCGCATAGCACGTCATTTCATTGTAAACAAAATTACTGGCTATGGGAAGTGTTAGCGAGTGAAAACCGTTACCGCGTCAGCTACGAAGCGAATAGTTGCCAAATGGTCAAAAGCTATCGCAAGGAGTACGTTACGGAAGCATTATTGCAGGAGGGAAGTATTCAAAGGAGAAAACAGCTCCCCTAACAGTTAGCACGGTGCATGTATTCTTCCGGATAGCTAATACAAAGTTAAATAAAGCTGAAATGGAATCGGCAGAAATGATGTTTATTTTATCAAGGAATATTTTAGAATATTGACCTTGCTAGTATCCTTGTCATAGTTTGGAACACAGATGAACTTATTTTGTGATGTAAATGGGCATGTATCGGGGAGAGTTCACTTTGTGTTTCTATAAACAGTGGTTTATGCGAAAGGCAGGGATAAGTGACTGTTTAGTTTGATTTTGCCATGGGGTCCCCCAAGGGGTAACTGTTGGACAGTACAGCCACGGCGTGTAGCAAACTTTCTGATCTCTTCTCTGTCGATACTCGGGACACATGAGATGCATGTGCTATTAGATTTACAACTATTTTTTAAAATACTCCCGGGTCCAGTAAAATGGTATGGTTTAATTATATTTCGAAAGTAAAAGATTGGAAGTGCATACAACACATACATTCATTAAAAAAATATGGTTCTTCATGTGATGTCCCTTTAATAATCTCCATTTATTATAACTTTCTGGCTACGTCGGCACTCGACATGTTTATACCATATGTGATAACATTCAGAAACAATACTAAGTATCAAAATACTGACGTACATATAACTTCAGGCATTAATATCCCTGGCAGGATGTGTAAAAGATATGGCCTGCTGCGTTACAATGTTTTATCTTAATGAGTGCTAAATAAGGACGGCCTTCATTGTCAGGATCTCATCGGTCCACTCTTACTGGGTACACCTAAAAGACATTTTCTTTCCCCATTTCTTTACTCTTTTGTTGATTGGGGTATCCTTATGCACCCCGCGCAATTTTTTTCTTCGAATGGTTTGACGGGTAATTGGTAAGGTTGCTGTGTTTAAATGTGATACAGATGTGTTTTGGCTCCATAAAGCAGCCCTAATGCCTCCTCCTTTAGTGTAAATATCGTCTTATGAGCTAAGCTATTGCTAAAGGAAAGAAAAAACACAGATATTTATCGAAAATGGACCGTACGATTATTAGTCCATCTACTGTATCTATGAATATCATGATCTCAGTATTTCACGTATCTTACTTTTCTGACCATATTTAATATATTAATATTTAAACGAAACAAGAAAAGATAGCTACAACCGTTTAGGACATGTATTTCATAGTAAACGATTATAATGTTATGGATTTTATGTTTCTGTCCGTGTCTTCTTTTCGACCAATAAATACGAAAATCATACCACAAATTAATTCGTGAGACTGACACAAAACAAGCTGAAATAAAAACACAATAAGAGTTTCATGGTTGTCATATTTAACAAGCTCGCGAAAAAAGCGTAGAAACACTGTTGCAAGTTTAATAATTTTTACTCAGAAAACTTAACTATTCACATTGACATAAAAAAGGTTATTGCATAATAACAATGATCAGGTGTTGATTACAGTTTATCATGTTTTGTCTTACCCGTAAATGGTATAAAAAAATGAGTAACGCATAAATGAGTTTTCCGCGAGTACTTCGGTTTCCTGCCACATTGAAAACCCTCTGAGACTGAACGTTTGTCGTCACTGAACTATTCTCTCCCTTCACGACTGCTCGATAGCAAGTTATATATTTATTCTCTTTTTGATTCCACCGATTCACAATGGCTATACAGTTTTGTATCAGCCTTCTTATCAGCAGCCAAATCTTTGTTTGAATAATACTTTTAGATTTTAGTCTTTTCATATTTTTTTTTCTGTGATAAGATATTCATTGTGTGGATGAACTTCTCTGTAATATATTGCTCAAACAAAACAAAGCCAAACAAAATAAAACAAGGCAAAAATACACACAAACGAAAATAATGGGTACGTTGTATTACATATCTGATCATATATGCTATGAAGATATTTTTTTTGTATTTGGAGAACTTTAAATCCTTTTACAGAACTGACACATATCTCTTTTTTACTATTTCTATTTTCCCGACAGACAAAAACATGTAAATTGAGGGAAACATGTTTTTCCCAATTTTGTTTAGTATTTCTTCATCCAGTAGTTTAAAAAATAGAAAGCGTCTTTGCTGTACAGCTATATCTTGTTGTTAGAGGTAAGAAAGTTTGTTTATATTTTCACCATCAAATCTACGGTCTGACGTTTGAATGTTCTGACTTTTAACAGTAATTATTTTGCTCCGGTTGGAGCTACATCTTTGCATTGTTCTTTTTTTGTAATTTTGTAGTGTACCGGAATATTATTCACGTTTAAACATTTTGAAAAAGAAACGTTTTTCCATTTTTCAGGAATTCCGCCCAGAGAGGTTTCTACCAGAAAATACAGAAAATAGACATCCTTATGCCTTCTTACCGTTCTCAGCTGGACCGAGGTTTGCTTGTTAAGAGTTTTAGAAAAACTGATGATATAGCAACATTGACAAATGATGCAAATTATATTTAATCAAAAGTTACAATTAAACAGCAAAATAGTTAAATGGAGTTGAAGATAGAGTTAACCATTCGACGTCTTCTACGTATTTTTATTCCCATGCACCCTTCCTGTTGAAACCAGTGCTATTCTGCATATGTTTAAACTTTAAATATGAAATACAAGAAAAACACGGTTATTTGATATAACAAATAAATTCAGAAATAGTTCATAGTATTATTTTCCGTAGAGCCCGTAACACGCGGATAACAATGTAGTTGTTTAATAGTTACAAATACATCTGTTGTCAGTCCATATTTTTAACAATAAATGCGACAAATCTTACATGCTTTGCCATCAATTGGAAATGAAATACAGAGAGTGTGAACAAAATGAACCTACGTTACTCCGATCGAACTAACTTCTATGAAATAATCCGTAGTTGTTTTTAACTGAAATGTTAACACACAACAATAATAATCCTAGGTTTATATAGCTTATGTTACTATTAGCATGAAACAAACTGATATACATTGGTTATCTTACCCATCAGTAATACAAATTATATCAGTTTTCAGCGAGGATAAAAACATTTAACATCTGTATTATGCTATTCTTATTACAGAAATTGTATTGGACAAAACTTCTCCATGAACGAACAAAAAGTATTATTGGGCAGAATAATCAAAAGGTACGTATATTGTTTTGTTTTTATTTATACACATTGCTTGTCTTTATGTCTTTAATACATATCGTAATACAACAGCTAAGTTCATTGCATTTTGGAATCAAACTAGCAAGAGTTCACACTAAATGTATCACACATTCAACAGAATAATGACGAGATTGTAGCTTCTTTTGCGATTAATTCAAAGACATTTCATATCCTATAGGATGGAATGTCAAGCGTCACATTGACAAGTACAGACGGCTTTGGTAATATTCTAATTTGCTGCAATCTTTAATTATCCAGGTTTAGGGTAGTTTTGGACGAAAACCACGAGGTCATCCCAGTCCCATTGTTTATAGTCCAGGCCAGAGACGGCATAAAAGTCCGTTTTGAGGAGAGATGAGAATCTTATATTTCTCTGGAGAACAGTCCTTTGGTTCTCGATTATATATATCATGCATACATGGTCCAGTCATCTTCAAGCTGTAGCATATATTTTATATCGTTATTGATATTATAAAATCGTTCATTTGCATCCCTTAGTTAGTATTTTGAACCAATGTGTGGTACACAACTTTTCAAGGGAATTCGACTGTACTTGACATGACGCGTCTATACAAGCCAAGTTGATATTAACAAACTGTGGTATCAAAAGAATCCATAGACAAACAGGATTTTATTTTGTAGAAACATCTTATGTATACCCTACTCAGACAATAAAGCGAGGCCCAATATTTTGAACTAATTTAAAAGACTACTCCTGATGAAGAAGTTAATTGTTTTTGGCTAAATTGGCGTTAAATTTTCCCGTACAATAGTGAATAAATTATATAAAAATGAGAAGGGTGTTTTTTTTCTCAGGCAAGAGAAGCGATCCAAACAGAAAAATTACTTGTTAATACTTAAACAACAACTGCTGAAATTCAAAATTTAAGATGAAGTCATTGAAAATAAATAAAGTATGTGGTACCCTCAGAGAAATAAATACAAAATTATCATGACTTTTGAAGAAGACGTTGACAAAATGTTCATTATGGATACGGAAAAATATACGGACATATTACTGAACTGTTAACCAGTTAATGTGTTCTAAGTCTGTGTATTTCATTTATTTATTTGAAGTACATAATAAAAAAGGAAATGCATTAAAATCCTTATGTCCCTCGTTCATTTCAGCGTCATCATCTGATAATATTTATAAATCATTATATAAACTATTAATTTGAATAAAATGTAGCTATATATATTCCTTTTACACAACCAATAACGTTTCGATGACCAGTACGACATGTACACTGTCACCTTCATCAGACCAATGACCAGTGAAGCGTATGCACACAATTGTATAAAATGTGTACGAGTTGTCCATAAAATCGATGTCGATTTCGGCTACGCTGGAAACGTATGTACAATAGTTGTTATACATGTACCGAAATTTCTCAATTTAGCTACGCTTTGTTAACACTTGGTCATAGATGTGCGAGAGTCTTTGAACCCCCTCGTCTCGATTTAGAACTGGCCAACTGCGGCGTATCCAGATGACTTCCTTTTATCTGCCGCTTGAACATATTGCTCTCTCTGTCCAAAACTTTGAAGTTATCCCAGTCAATCACATGTTTTTTTTGTGTGGCATGGTCTGTGAATGCCGAATTATTTATCTGGGACTCCTACTGCTTTCTTTCTGATTTGATGAATTTCCTACCTTATTGGGTTTCTGTGTCTTTCCGGTGTTCACCAAGGCGGACCCCAAATCGCCTTCCTGACTCTCCAATATACGACGCGTCGCATTCGATTTTCTATACGCATTCTGCGACGTTTTCTTTCGGTGTTTTATCCTTAGGGTGTACTAGAATATTACGAAGCGTCTTGTGGGGCTTCATGACTGTTGCTATGCCATGCCCGCGACATATCCTCTGGATGGTTTCGGATATACCCTTTATATACGGGATGACTACTTGACCTTTGGTTTTGTTCTTATCTTTGATTGGCCTTTTCGTGTTCTTCTCCTTACTTTGACACTGTTTTTACCCGTTTTAGGGTCCATTCCGTACACATTTTACACCTTTGTGTGCATACGCTTCACAGGCCATTTGTCTGATGAAGTTGACAGTGTACATACAGTCCTAGTCATCGACACGTCACCTAGATAATTGTATTGGTTGTGTAAAAAGAACTTCTCATAATAAAGTAACTATATACATGTATATATAGCATTGTTACAAAGAAAATTGTATGTAACAATAATTCAACCTGTTTTATAATCTTAAATTGTTTGCAAACATTAAAAATATATACGATTTTGATGTTTTTGTCTTTTTATTCCTTAAGCGTATGTATTGAAGCAGTATTTACATAGCCGGTTCTGTATATTGCTATGTCTATAGTTAGTTAAAATAGTATACTATTTAAGTATGAATAGGATCTTGAAGGTATAGATTTACAACTATAAATACATTTTTTTGCGGATGAAAAGCATTTCAAATATTAGAAATGGTCGAATGGTGCAGAATTTATATGTAATTTGACGATTAATAGCATATCATAGGTCCGAAATGGTCGAATGATGCACACTTTACATGCAATTTAAGGATAAATAGCATTCCATAGGTCCGAAATGGTCGAATAGTGCACATTTTAGATGTGATTGGAGGATAAATAGCATTACATAGGTCCGAAATGGTCGAATGGTGCACAATTTACATGTGATTGGAGGATAAATAGTATTACATAGGTCCGAAATGGTCGAATAGTGCACATTTTAGATGTGATTGGAGGAGAAATAGCATTACATTGGTCAGAAATGTTCGGATAGTGCATAATTTACATGTGATTTGAGGATAAATAGTATTACATAGGTCAGAAATGGTCGAATAGTGCAAAATTTACATGTGATATGGTGATAAATAACATAACATAGGTCAGAAATGGTCAAATGTTGCACAATTTACATGTGATTAGAGGATAAATAGCATTTCATAGGTCAGAAATGTTCGAATGGTGCACAATTTACATGTAATTAGAGGATAAATAACATTACATAGGTCAGATGATGTTCTCGGTACCTTATTAGATCACAATTTTGTAAAGTAACTTACTATCAATACCTATACTCATAGACATTTCTGTTTTTTCTAAATAAATAAGCAAAAAAGTTTAATAAGAGTAAAAAGATTAGAACAGATAAACATTATATTGCAAATTTTAAATTGTTCGAAGTGACAGTAAGATATAATTTTGGTATTGATCATTATGATGTATGATACATAAATACATAATTAACTATATCTTTTTATATTGGTATATTTAGAAGTACATTGTACGTTGTTTGCATGAGTTTTACTGTAGATATATCAACGATAGACTATGTTTAAATACCAAGAAGTAATATACCCTCCTGAACTTGAAAACAAGAATATCTCGGATTCATCTCCATCAACCGCCCTTTTCAATCTTTATAAACATCACGAATAGCAAGTTCGCGCACTACCTAGTTGTACAATACGCGTTAATATTTTGATTTTAATTTGATAGTAACATCTCTACCTCCCAAATCCACAAGTTCCCGATATCAGAAAAACTATTATTGCAAGACATTTGTTTTACTCTACTCGGATATATATTAAGGATGGCAGGCCAAGCAGGCCAAGCACATTTAACCATTTAGGGTCTCCCTTATTCATTGAAATAGTCAACATATGACAACATATGTTGTAAAGATGTTTTCCTAAAAAGAACACAAAACATCTGGTCTTTACAAGTAATCTTTGAGTTGAAAAGTCGACGGAAATAAATCGAATTCCCTCATTTAATCATCGTTTGATACTAATGCAAGTTTTCTTTCTTTCTTCATTAATATAACTGTTATAATCTTCTAATTAAGCCGTTGCAATGTTAAAATCAAATAATGGGTATTATTACATTGTACAGAAATACAATTATGTAACTTTACTAAGTCTATCTATATAATCGCTGAAAAGTATCCAATAGAAAACGCAGCTTATCACGTGGTAATTCTAACTAGGACAGAATAGGTTAGTACCCGATATTGTTTTACCGATTTTATTTTCGTCTGGAAGTTATACCTAGCAGTGGCGAGTAAAGGTAAGTATTCTAACACTAACCATATTGTACCTTAAAATTAGTCAAATTGACATCATATGCATGGCAGATGTAACGTTTTCAGGCTAACAAATGTTTGAAACGGTTGAAATACGCGTGAGTGTATATTTCAAGAAACTATTCACAGCTTGTTTTGTTTACCTGTTACTCAGTCTGCTATATTGACCTTCGTGTACTTTTATGGACAATAATATGACATCGAGATGACAAGGACATCCTAAATGCGTGTTCTTGTTGTGGTTCGAACATTCAACACAACTTACAGTATGTCATTGCAAAGTCATGCTTGTTTTATATACAGTTTTGAACATAGAGCAATGACAAACCATATCCTTCATGACTTCCATGTCGCTCTCACTTTCAGTAACGGTAAGTATTTGGCAAAATAGTTGATGTGAAAATCTTCACTGCACGTGAACATAACGACAGTCCATTAGACGAAAAACACATTATTTGCTACCCACTCTCAATTCTCACTTTAACAATAACAAAAACTCTTCTGCTGTGATAACATACACAAATTTTGTATACAAAGCTATAGAAACAACAGAAACTAATCCATATCTAACAGGAACAAGTTTAAGAACTGTCGTTAGTCGAGCCATCAAATGGTTATCAGTTTGTACATATATATATATATATATACGATGCTGTGCAACGAAACATTGATAGTTCCAAACGTTCACACTTTCATAATAAGTTATCCATCCGTCTGGATTTATTATATTATATCCACACACCTACAGTATATACTTATTATGTTATATCCACACACCTACAGTATATAAGTATTATATTATATCCACACACCTACAGTATATAAGTATTATGTACCATCGATCCAGTTAGTTGTCAATCTAGGAACAAACTTTTATGTTGTCAAATCGCCTTCATTGGTTATATACTATCCAATCCCTACATTATACTATTAAAAAAGGTACTGAAATAATAAACTATCTATCCTCCTACACTTAATATAAACCATCACCCAATGTAAATTCTTATGGGTGAAAAAACCCCAATTTGTTACAGTTATACTCTTTCCATCTAACTGTAGAGTAATTGAAATAGACTCCCTCCGCCACAAGGAACACTCATCCAGCGGTTATGCTATCTACGTTTTTAAGCGGTCCAGGTATGTGTGTTTAGATGAACAGAGGTATTTGATATGAGAAGTATGTCTTAGTTGATTCGGTATTATAAGAATTGCTCAATTTTGAATGCTCTGATAAAATGGATTCCTGAAGGACATCATCATCATCATATAATTAAGAAATATATACTATTTCCTGATTCGATATGAAGATTGGCATTTCTGATAATGGACATTAGTGTTCCTTGTTGCTTTGTACCACTTCTTCAGTTCTCTCATTTGGAATTGAGTTTTCAATCACTGTTAACGTCGATAAAGCGGGAAACGTTGATCCTTCCGTGACACATTGTCTTATCCTCCTGGAATTTTCAAGGATCTCAATCTAAATCCTTCCTATGTTTATATGTTATCCTAGTTTTATTGATTTTTCTTTAGAATGGCGGCTTGGTAAAAGTTCTTATGTGCAGAAGATATATTTTGCTGTATCTATGAAAGTATTCCTCTGAAGAAAGTTGTT